AAATAATTTTGTACAGTTAATCAGACACAGAGTTATCATAACTAAGGTTTTATGCACCCATTGCACCCGATCAGATTACAGTGGTTCGGGTATTGCTGCCCAAGGTCTGCGCCCTGTGCCTAGCCACCGCTGACACCCCTCTATATATTTATGGCACTTATTAGACATTCATAATTTGATCAGAGGGCTGAGTGCAAGTTTATTTCACATCGACTCGATCTCGATGGCGAGCTCGTTTAGCGTTGTGATTGGGGGAGATTTGGCGCGGGCCAATCGTAGCGCCGAACGTGGTTACCGTGACGATCGGGTAGACGTTTTACCGTGGGAGAGCCATTTCGGCACGAATGGCCCGGCTCGCCCGGAGTGATACCACGGCCTCACAGAAAACCGGTGTTAAGCAATTCTTTCGTTGCCTTTCACTGAGTGAGTGAGGTTACCGGCGCCCAAATCCCCCCTCCCGCTGACTCCAAGGGCAACAACGCACCTGTGACTTTTGAGTTGCAGGTGTTGATGGGCGGCGGTAGTTGTTTACCATCAGGTGACCCGTCTGCTTGTTTGCCTCCTTATACCATAAAAAAAAGTGAAATTTACTCTCACTTGGCCCTCAATTTCTGGATAAAATAGTTTCTGCACGACACGATTTATTAAGGGTAAGAGTTAAATAATAACTTATGTTACTTCATGTTTTGTATTAATAAATAAAATATTCGTATTTACAAAAGTATCCTTTTTCAGCGCCTCTGAGGTCACAAGCAGTTGACGCCGATAATAACCTGTATGACTAATATAATATTTGATGTGTACACAATCAATGAATGCTACAAATTTGTCATATTCAAGGTTTCTTCAGAGATAAAATAGAACTTTCATGTTCACTGATGAAATTATTTTATAAGAAATAGACCAAGAGAATATGTCCAAATATCTCAGTCTCACAATTTTATTCAATAATTTACAATGGCTGGGGATCGTATGCCGTCTGTATGGACGGGCCGGCTCAATACTATGGTCATTTCTTCAAAATAATAATATATATATCTATACAAATAAATAAAATTGGAGTGTCTGCTTGTAATATTAAAATAACCGCTTTTTACTAAATGCATATGTATGTTTACACGGTACATATGCCAAAATAACATTTTTTACAATTTTTGTCTGTCTGTCTGTTTGTTCCGGGTAATCTCTGGAACGACTGGGCCGATTTCGACGGGACTTTCACAGGCAGATAGCTGATGACATAAGGAGTAACTTAGGCTACTTTTTTAGACTAGCTTAGCCCCGCGGCGTTGCCCGCGGTTATAACAACAAACGCGGGTAACACCGCGGGTCTCAGCTAGTATATAATATAATAATATTCGGACATCTGACACACAACGCCGTCTAGTTTCAAACTAAGCAGAGCTTGTACTATGAAAGCCAGATTGACTGATAGAATACTTATTTACTGGTCTTTTTTTTTTGTAAATACATACATATTATACATAGAAAGGCCAAGCCAGCCTCTAAACTGCACTCACATAGTTCTCTTTAACATTGTACACGGACTTAAAAAAAAAGGCGTTTCTTCCCAGAGTGAGTCTTAGGAAATGCCGGCGCCTTCTAGCTGTAAAGTCCGACTTGTAAAAATATCTGACAAGATTTACTTACAGAAATAAATATCATTTCGTCATTTCATTTCATAAAACAGATATCACTGCCTGCCTGTAAATTTTTTTGGAGACAGGCGATTAGGTATAGATTGACATCAACAATCGCCTGTCTCCAAAAAAAATCACCCTTGTGAGAAGAAATCGAGCAAACAAACTTACGGCAATTCTTAAAAAAAAAAGACGGACATTTCTACCAATAATATATTTTACAATTTAACTATAAACAATCTTTTAATATCTAATAAGTCTAGGCAAGTCGGCGTAATGGTTAGTATTTTTTAGTTTTTACACCCACTTGACAGTCTCTTCTTATCTTCTCTAGAAGAGTCTAGTATTTGTTTATCAATGACATAATTTTATGATCTTAAGTTAATAGTTTATTAATAGTCACATATGACTACTCAAAGAATTAAGTTCTTTTTAATTAAAGACATAAATTTACTCACGTGGTATTTCGGAGAGCCCGACACCAATAACCCTCCAGATAAACAAAACTACTTGACAAAGGAACCCAGGTCCGAAACTAATCGGACATTCTTAAAATACTGACGTGTTTAAAACTCTTCTCTCTTTTCTTTTTAATAAATATCAATACGACACGTGTTAAGAACAAAAAAAAAACTTTTGAACTTGAAATAGTAATTTAAAAAGAAAAAACAAGAAACCGCAAACGCATCCTTAAAAATAACACACTACAACACTATTAAATATAAAGTAGTAATACATTTCAGACTTGTTTATGTAACTTATTCTAACTGTAAATATTGTATTTCAGATCATATCAGAGAGAAATGCTTTCCATTTCCCTCTCTATAAATAATTGTACAAGCCAAATCTAACACATATGTACATTATTACTCATATTCCAATCCTTAAATAATTTAATATTCCATTTTTAAATATGCCTGGCATAAAAGAATCATATTCCATTCCATATCTTTATCTCATATTCATTCAAAGAGAAGGAAAATTTGATACAAACCCTGTACCAACCCGTCTGGCCAGCGTGGTATAGTAGGTCAAACCCTTCTTTTTAAGGAGAGGCCTATGTCCAGCAGTGGACTATTGATGGCTGTTGATGATATATTTCTCAACGTGTCTCCCTCACTTTTCCAGTCGTCAAAAAGTCTTACAATCAGAAATTTTTAAAATATCACATTAAAATCTCATTTATTACACATCACTTGAACACAAACACTTATAACATCCCAAGTACTAAAACTAAACAACTTGTTTGCCCACTCTTCCCTAAAAAAAATAAAAAAACTTAACTAAAACCTGAAACATCTTTTATCCACAGGTTCTTTCAATAAATCGGCCTTAAAACGTACAACAAATTTTATAAAATAATTAATATCCAAAAACTGTTTTCATTTTCATTGTCATTTTCTTAGTCAATTATTTTGTGATGAAACAAATCTTACGATCAAAGTTGTAAATACTTTAATAAAAACATAATTATGTTTAATTTGTTTTAAAATAAAATTATTTTAAGCAATATTACCTTCATTCCTAAGTCACATTTATAAGGTTACTGAAAAGTATCATGTTCATACACACACTACTTTTACACACACACACACACACACACACACACACACACACACACACACACGCGCACGCACGCACATGCAGCCATACACAAATGCATACACACAGAGAGAGAGAGAGAACATTTTCTACAATATGAGTTTAAGCAAATTATAATTCTAAAAATAATAACATAACACATCCCACACACGGTCGTCTGCTTCCAAACTAGGCAAAGCCTGTACTATAGTAACCAGACTGCTGGTAAACATACTTATACATTTCTAAATACATATATATTTTAAATAAGTTACACCCAGGCTTCGATCAACTATCATTGTTGATCGAAGCACCCAGGACACAGAACAAATAATGATCGCGCTCATCTCACAATTATATGTCCTGGGTGGGAATCGAACCACAGTCAGTCAATAATCACTAGCAATATCAACGAGCCCAGTAAATTGGTAGCACAGTTTACATAGTAAATGTGTCCTGAGATCGAGGTGGGGGAGCTCTTAGCTGATATACAAGTTCCTGGTCTAGTTCAGCAACAGATGTTAATACCGAACACTAATCGTCTGCAGTAGCAACTACAAATTATATGTAAACATGTATGCTTTATAGTGAAGTAAGTGTAGTAGTGCTTTTTAGTATTCATTCATTCATTCAATTATTCATTCATTCATTCAATTATTCTCTCTTTCATTCAATTATTCATTCATTCATTCAATTATTTATTAATTCATTCATGAGAACTAGAAATCTAACAATAAAGTCTGAGCCCTCCGACAGCCAAGACCAAGCGGGCAAAGCTTATCTGGAATGTCTAACATTTATTTATTTATTTTCTTACAATATCTTTACAGGTTTTTGCCAATGCGATATTGTAGTTACATTAATTAAATTTAAGCTAAACTAAAGACAAACTTATTGTACTTTCAATCTTGTGCTTCTCTTTAAATCTCACTCGAACTACTCTAGGATATCATCTTCGACCCCTGGCGAGCCCTTCAGGCGTCCTTGATCTAGTCTCGCGAATGTTAACATATGGAATCTAGTTCCTCTTACCCTATCTTTCATAATATTTAAAGTTTAATCTGCACGAATAACGTGTACAATTGTGTCTAGTAAGGGATTATCCATCAATTACGTGACATACCAAAAGGAGGACGTCCTGCCTTGTCACATAATGTCACATTTCATTTGAGCCCTGGGTGATTAGCTTTGTGACGTCAAATGTCAAAATCTAATCTATTACAAAATTAACAAAATCAATTATTAAACCACAACAAGAAAACTTAAACAATTATTCCATCTTTAACACTAAACAGATCATTTTATATTCATAAATACATACTATAATACATTTTATCGTTTATTGTTCATTAATTTCTTTTTTGTTCTGTAATTTTTCTGGAATGTTTAATTTAATGTATACCTAATTAAAATAAAACTATCTATTGACTACAAAGTGTAATATTTCAACACAAATTTACGCCATACCAGGAAGAGGAGTCTCACAAATGTGACAACCTGCGACAAGAGCGGTGGCTTGAAAAATTAAGAAATTCGTGTGACGTAATTTATAGATGACCCCTACGCAGAAAAAGCTCAAAAAAGTTGCAGATTCAAACCTTTGTGTACTGAAAAAGTATTTAATGTGGCAAAAGGTACGCTATACTATATTCGACCTTAAGCGTTTAGCATAAAGTTCATTGTGTAAGAACTGAAATACATAAAACCCTTTTTCTTAGTTTTAGTAAATTGTAACCAATATGTGAAGTATACACGAATGGTACCTTACAATAAAATATTTTACAATGATTTTTCGTCAACATTATAGCCGTGTTTTCTTGTTACGCTGCATACGACGCAGTCTTCGACGTTGTCCAGTAACGTATGTCGGGGAAATTCCAGAGCGATACTACCATGCAATCCTGAAAGAAACCAATAATAAAGTTAGAATATATAATATATATTCCAACGTGGGACAACACTTTGTGTGTCCATTTCACGTGTTTGTAATGTCCCCCCGACACAGATTATATTCCCAGTGCAAACGTTGTCTTTAAAAAAAATAGAGAAAGAGAGGAGGAAGAACATAATTAAACTAACCGTTATCACATTTGAAGCAACTATTCGCGGCCACTTCTCCACTCGAACTTTGAGTACAGCTGCAGTATCGTCTCCTTCGCCTGAAATGATTTATATTTTTAATTATTACCGGCTACAACCATCAAGTGGCTGCTGTGATGAGGTCCTCCTCAGCTGCGGAATTTTCTAGCTCAAAAATATACAAAAAATCTACTGCATAACCATCTCAACTAAATTAAGACCACGTCATACATACATACACGTGAAAACCGGTGTAACTCATTTGCTGTTTTTCATCGAGTGAATGAGGTTATTGGAAGGCCAATCACCCCCCCCCCCCTCCCCCACCTACCCTCCCTAACTCTGTAAAGTAGATACTCTAACTAACTGCACCAAGTACCTTTTTAGGGTTGCGTATCTCAAAAGGTAAAAAAGGAACCCTTATAAGATCACTTTCTTGTCCGGCTGTCCATGTGTCGCAGCAATTTTCTCAGGAACGGGTAGACCTAGCAAGTACCCTATGGGTTTTGGAACGAAAACCTATATGGTAGTTCGCGTTGACCTAGAATCACGAAATTTAGCAAAAAGAAACGTCTTACAGCACAAATAAAGGATCTGTCTGAAAATAATCTGGGTAGGTATGAACCCTCGGCGCACGAGTTTGACTCGTACCTGACCAGTTTTTTATTTTTATTTTAGAGGGGGCAGACGAGTAGAAAACATATAAACTCTAAAGTATGTAGAATCAATACAGAAAGTCTACCATGTCATGTAACTTATATCTTCTAAGTTATCAAACAACAAAAGTGTAAAAAACGCAAATAAATATGAATCTTCAATCAAAAAAAAAAATCTAAGTTAGTGGAATAAAAAACTTACACCATTTCATCTTTTCTTTTCATTTCTTCCTCAATTTTCGACCAAATATCTTGTGTTATGTCACTTTTTATAGTGGTCCTTTCCATAAATGTGTTGTAATAAACATTAGCTTCTGATGATGGAATATATTGACAACTACTGACACTCGGGTCTGAATGAGATGATGAAAGAGAAAAAATTTGTCTTTCCAAACTTGCACTTTTTCTTTCTGTATTCAGCGAACATTTTGTCCTGAACATATTTATAGGGCTTGTTAGAATGATTGGGCCTTCTTGGACAGGAGATGTCATTTCCATATTCTGTGATATTGACCTAATAGCTTCCTTTCTACCCCCTCCTTTTTTCTTCACAGCTCCTGTCTTTTGTCTGTCACCAGGTACAAATTCTGCGCTCAATGGATTTAAGTTACTTTTCAGTAATATGTCTTCATTTACTTCTTCCTTTTCATATTTATTTTTTACCTAAAACATACAATATAATATTTTCATTAACCATAATCAGTTTATATGGCATAGCTCCACTGTGGATGAGACATGCTGCGGCACGTGCGAGCCACTGGCAATTATTCAAAGGAAGGCCCAGGGCGGGACGGCTTACTTTGAATAAATGCCCCCTTCTTAACTCTGGGAGGGACACTCAAAGGGGATTCATTTGTGTCCATGGGCGTCATTGTCCATGAAGGCAAAGCCTCCATCTCCTATACGTATTTTAGTCTATGAAGATGACATATACCTATTGTCTGACTACTTACTTCAGTTTGCATTTCCTTTTTAAGTCCACACTCTGGAGGTCGTGAGTAGTCTACGTCTCCACATGATTCATTAAAGGTTTTCTCCGTTTCTACAAAGTAAGAAGACAGAGATAAGAGAAAAGACGAGACATAGAGAGAGATAAAAAGAGAAAACACACTGACTGACTGACAGTCTGACTTTGTGATAATATTTTGTTTAGGAGAGCTTACAGACCAATATTAATAGGAGAAGAAAGATATAGAAAGAAGAATTATATAATATATATGATCCTAAATAAGGCAGAGAGAAATGCTAGAATGCTGATAAATATGCTTATATTTTTCAAAGTATACATTATAATATTTGAAAATAATAACTACCCCTGGAAGACTGGTACCCAAGCGACGGGTTCAGGAACCAAGGTTGTAACGTGAAGAGATGGGAAGGAAATTTATTCCAATTATAATGGCATAAGAAGCGCGACTAAGGGAGCAAACTCGGCAGGACAACAGCACTGCAAAAAGAAGGACAACTTGAAACAAACCCTATACCGACCCGTCTGGCCAGCGTGGTATATAAACCTCCTTTGTAAGGAGAGGCCTATGTCCAGCAGCGGACTGTTAAGGGCTCTTGATGATGATGATAATGGCATAAGAATTAAAGGTACTATTGAACACTTAATGTTCAAACATGATAAACTTAGTACTCTAAAAATGTTTTCTAAAAATCCATCTCTGCAAAAAAGCATGTCTGAAATGACTTTGAAACAACATTTTCTTAGTAAATTTTATACTCAACAGAAATTACTGTATCTAAACCGTGTGTCCTTCGCACCGGTCTTTTATGCTCTCTCTGTGTTAAGTCATAGAACCTACATAAATTATTATCTTAATTTTAGTACTAATTCGGTGTCTTTTTGATGAATCCTTTATTGTACTAGTCGTTTTCGTAGTTTTCTTTTAATTTACTTACTTAGATTTTATGTTTATTGTATTGCAATCTATCTGTGTGCGTTTCTTAATTTGTAACTGTTGGCACAAATATTAGGGGCCAGCTGTAAGTAAACCAGTGCTGTGTTCTCGCACAGTGTGAACTCAGCTGGTAGCCTTTGCTATGTGTAGAACATGCTATATGTAGCCGCAATGTTATGTGCCTAAATGTTTTATAAAATTAATGACATGTTTTGTAGTGTATCTTGTAGCCGTGTATGTTTTATCTATCTTGTGTAGCAAAGATAGATGGTTTAAATCTGTCTGAATCCCAAGTGTACAATAACATGTACCATACTGAATATGTGGTGTATAGTAATCAAATAGTTTTTTAATTATTGCATTTAGATTATTTCTTACATGTTGCTTGTGGTAATAAATTAATAACAGGACTGCAAAAAGAAGGAACACTTTACCAACCCATCAGGCCAGCGTGATGTAGTAGAGCAAAAGCTCCTTTCCAGGGAGAGGCCTATGTCCAGCAATGGACTGTTAAAGGCTGTTGATGATAGGAAATATATGTGCTTGTTGACAGCAACAAGCTTGTTACGTGTACGTATATGTGTTACGTGTACGTAACACGTACACGAAAGACGTACACGTAACACGTACATGTAACACGTTCGTGTACATGTTACGCGTACGTGTTACGTGTACGTGTTACGCGTACGTGGGATTAAATTATATTATATGGGTGTTTAATACATCTCTGTCTATCCCTATAGAGAAAAATTTATGAGTGTGTATGTGTCTTTTCTCTATGGCTTTTAAATTTTATATTTAAAAAGCTAAGTAAATAAGTGCCTTTGTACAAATACTATTCTGTAGGCAAATCTTAAAATCATTTGTAAAAAAATCTACTAATACTTTTAAAAAAGTGATGTAGCAATACCTTTTTTTAATTTCTCAGTTGGTGGTGCACTAGCACTATTGTCAAGCGACTCTATTGAAGCAGCAACACATCCTTGTGCAAATGATAAATCTCGCTTTATTTCATCAATATTTGCTTTAGAATCCATAATTATTACAAAACTACAAAAAAAATCACAGTTCTTGTAAGATACCAGACATGTGAAACCTAGTCAGTTTCAAAACGTAATTATTGTTGGGTAGTGGGTACTCTCACATCTGTGTAACAATTTCCTATGGTTGTTTTAAGTCCTTATCGCTAATAAGGGTAGTTAAAGAAAATATTTTTCTATATACTATTACACAGAAATTAATGAATAGTCACACTTCAGAAGCTCAGTTTGACTAAAGTCTGTTCGAGTTAACCTCTTTGTGTTGATCATAGCACCTTTTTATTAATAAATTTGTGTCTATTTTCCTAAAACATGTACTTTTCTGTATATTTTTGTTTACTTCTTTTTAAAAAGATAAACTTCAACTAATGTGCAGCTTAGTGTTGCCGTTAAAAAAAAAAACAAGTTGAGCTACTTCAATGAGAAAAGTTTAGTGAATTTTGTAAAGAGAACGATTATGAAGTTTGTTTTTTTTTTGTATTACTTACCTTTTATTCTTGTATATTATATTATACTATTATCATTATGCTGTACTGTTTTGTCTGGACTGTTAACTTTTCAAGCTAGCATCATTCGAAGAAATGTCCCAGATACATTATGTTACATCGTCTCTTCAGAATTGTTAGGAAAGCCATATCTGTATAATTATCCTAGCATAATTATCATAACGCATACAGACAGATAAACATTACAATTTTAGGTATCGTAGAAGTCACAAGAAAAGAGAAAACTACAAAATAGGAAAAAGAGATGTGCGTTAATTATTAAATTGCGTTTACTTTTACGTTGAATTTAGTCGTATTGTATTTCGTCTTATTGTATAATCTTGTGCGCACTCCGAATCACAAGAAGCTTGTAGACAATGGAGCAATTTATACCAATTATACGACACCTGGTAGAGTAAACTGAATAGCAGTGATGGTTACCTTCTCGTAGCTTCACCCCTTTATAAAGGTCTTCCATCAAGTCTACTAGTTGAGTTAAACTGTAATCACATTATAAATATAAACTAGATTTGTTTATATTGTCTAATCCAGTTTATATTGTTTATTAAATAATATACAACATTTCCCGAATAAAATATTAAATGGGGTACAATAATTACCTAATCATTTAAACACTTAAAGTATCGAGTTTTATTTCATGGATAAAATATATTTCATCACAAAAAATGTTGAAAAGCCTTACAAGATATAGCTACAAAATGTCTTAAACGGCAATACTAAAAAACGTCGTTTTTTACAGACGGCAGTCTTAAAATATGTTTGACATTTGACATTGGTTCAGAAACATATTATGTAATGAGTTTTTAATGTAGTATTTCGTATTTTTTAATAAAAATCAATCAATAATAATTCAAATTCAGTATTATATTGCAAACTTCTTATTCAATAATTTTGCCAACTGTTGTGCAATCTGTATTTATTGACTGCTATTGCATAAAATAGATAAGAAAATGTGATTTTATAGTTCTTTTCGAAATGAAGCAACATAAATTAGACAGTTTTTGTAATTCTTTTATTTTATTTATTTATTTTTTATTTTTGTCTTCAAAATTGTCATGATCACTGCACTTCCAAAGCAGATCCATTTCTGTTTGTCTAATATGTGTTAGACAGCCGATACGCTACGCTACGATACGATACGCTTACACATATAATTTATGTTTGGCTAATAACGTTTTCATCATCAGCCTATCGCCGTCCACTGCTTAACGGAGGCCTACCCAAGAACAATCCCGGTCTTGGGTAGTCTACTTCCAGTCGCTGCCAGCCACTTGCCTAAAGTCGTCGGTCCATCGTGACGCATGGCACTCTAACACATGTCGGCTTCAGCTATCATCATCAGTCCATCTGGAGAAATGACCAGAATCGTCGTCATTGAACGGAGAATCAGTACATCGACATGAAAGTGGGCCTTTCATGTCGATGTACTGATTCTCCGTCCGATGTTGGTTACTCTGGTTATCTGTCAAATAGTTATGTGTCTACTTCTACTAGAAAAACACCTAGCATCGCACGCTCCATCGCGCGCTGAGCGACTTCAAACTTATGGACCAGTCCAACGGTGAGTGTCCACCTCTCGGCTACGTATGATCATCTCATTGCGTCTTACCTGAGATGGGTAGGACGCACTGATTAAATTCGAAGACATGACGAGGTTTCCGATATGCCGCCCAGCCCAGACGAATTCTCCTGTCGGCCTCCCGATCGAAGTTGTGCCGGTCGAGTTGTTTAGTTTGGCCAAGGTAGACGTGTGGAGGAACTGGGTGTCGTGTTCTTTACAAAACAAAGTGAGGATCCTCCAACCAGGAGAGGTGATCATGACTGGCGTGCTGCGGCCCAACTGTTTATGTTGGGAAGTTATTCATATTCTTTATATCGTGATACAGGATTAGCAATTCTCATTCAGGAGTTACTCCGGAGTTCGTTGTGTCTTCGTTAGATGGTGCTGTATTGTTTCTTTTTTCTTTTATGTGGGAGTCGCCACAGACTTATTCTTGCACAACCTTCATGATAGCGCTATTTACGAGGACGGGACTCGGGGATACATACCTATAATACATGATCTCAGTCATATCAATGTTCATCCCAAGACCCATTTGTCTTGAAGATTTTTTTTGTTTTTTTCTAAAAGAGACAACTCTTTATTATTAGGAATATATATATACCCTGTGTCGCGGGGGACTTTACAAACATACATGAAACGGACATAAAGAACACCCAGACTCAGAACAACAATTTGTGGATCACACAAAGTTTCGTCCCATGTGGGGTTTGAACCCACAACACTCGGCGTGGTAGGAAGCGGCGTGGCGACCGCTTAAACCACTCCGCCATCCGTGCTGTCAAATCTGAAGCTGAATGGCCAGACTATTGAATGCGTTGTCCGCGATGTCCAATGACACCGCCTACAGCACGCCGCCACAGCTCACAGCCTCTTCGGTCACGGCTCTCAAGCGCAGCACAGCGCCGACCGTCGAACGCCCCGCTCGAAAACCGAATTGGGCGTCCGACAGATCGGGGCACACCTCGCGCCAGACGATGCGGGCAGAGAGAACCCTCTCAAACAATTTACCTGTAGGCCAAGACCGAATCGGCAGGCCATCCCGGCTTCCTCAATAGGACCAGCTTCCTAGCTTCCCGCTTTTTCAGCACTCAGGGAAACGTCCCGAAGCGGTCTCCCATGTGGTTGAGGGCTAGGGCCAGCACTCGGGCCGGTATCCCGTCTGGCCCAGGGGCGGTCTTCTTGGAACGGATCCGTAGAACAGCCGCTCCTACCTCCGAATCCCGGACGGGTGGCACATCATCCCCGTTCTCCCTGTCGTTTCCGGCCAAGGAGGCCATTGACGGGGCTATGTACTCTGCCCGTTGCGGGAATAGGCCCTCTACCACTTCCAGCAGAAGCTGGAGAGTCTCCATAGGGAGGGGCCCGACGCGCTGAGCTTTTGTCGCACCGCGCGATAAGGGCGACCCCAGGGATCACGATTTAGACCCTCCAGCATCTCCTTTCTTTTCACTTCTTTGGCACGGGTAATGGCCAGCTTCAGGTGTTGCCGCACCTCTCGGTACACATGATGCCGGTTCTCCTCACTGTCTCCGAGGTGGCACCGCCGACGGCGGGTGTAGGACCTTTGGGCACGTGTACAGGCCGCACGGAGGTCTGTCAACTCCTGGGACCACCAGTAGACGTCCTTCCGTGGAGGCCGATGACCTTGGATGCGGGGGCCACATTGCAGACCTGCGTGATCGCATCGCGAAAGCGACCAGCCGCCATGTCGACCTCCTTGGTCGGAGCCTGAGGAGACAACCAAGAGTGAATTATGGCTGCCTCCCCTAGTAGATCCCTGTTCAGTCTGGCAACAGCCCACCGCGGAAAGCGTAAGGAACGCCGCGCCACGTGACCCCTACTGGGGTCCTGGGTCCGGGAGAGCTAAAATCGGATTTATAAGTGATCCGAGAGCGTCTCAACCTCTTCCAGGCCACACCAGTAAAGGAACTCCACGGAAGGTCCACTATCAACCCCCCCTGCTGTCGCACGCACGTGTTGGTGGAGCCACTGTTTAGAATACAGAGGCGCACCGAGGCCGCCAACTTCTCTATGGCCTCGTCCCTTGCGTCCGACCTGGGGGAACCCTGGGGGAATAGATTTAGCGTTGAAGTCCTCCAGCACAAGGACGTGCCCACACGCTAGTCGCCGCATCGAGGTCTCCAAGCTTTTGAGGAAAACGCTTAAACTCCGGTTGCGGGAGAAGTATACACCGTATATAGTGACCCTCCCCCCCCCCCCCCATCACCGCAGCAACATATCCAGTACCATTCTCTTAGCGACAAGGGCGGGAAATGAGCCGCTGTAGAGCCAACGACTGCCACGGAGCCGTTCCGGTCACCCGACCAGTTTGAACGGGGAGGAACATAATAGGGCTCCGCGCCTAGGGCCACACCGATCGACCACTGTGCCATAGTTTGTAGGAGGAGATCCTGTGCCGCGGCACAGTGGTTCAGGTTCGTTTGGACAAGGAGGTTGGAGAATTGGTCCATTACTAGATCGTCTCTACAACCTCCTCCATAGGCGACGGTGACGACGCATGAACGACGCCGGAGGCAGCCTGGGTCAACTGGCTAGCCTCCAACTTCTGCCGAGAATCGCGGAGGTTTGCAGCCCCCCTGCCCAATTTGGTGATTGGCCAGGCAGGCAGGCCAGGCGTGGTGAGTGGAGGGAACTCCACCCCAGCCCTTGCCAGAGTGGGGAGTGGAGGGAACTCCACCCCAGCCCTTGCCGCAGTAGTTACGGCCCTTGTTACCGCCGTCTTTGTAGTTTTGTTGGCCACTCGTCCTGCCTTCGGTGCGACCGTTGGTGTAGACACCGATACCGCCGCTGCCGCATACGATACGCACCACCCGCAACACGAACCGAGGTTGGCGCTGGAGTGACCTTTCGTCTATCTGCAGCGAGCGGCGGCCAAACAACGGGGGCCGGAGGCAGTCTCGCCTCCAAGTCCGCAAGTCGCCCGTCCAGCATACGCCAAACTGCGTAAGGAATTTGGCGCAGATGGTATTAGGGACGTCACTGGAACTGGGACTGGGAGTGGGGGCATATCGCTGCGGAGCCGAGTCCCGTTGCTCAGGGCGGATGGCCCTGCGTCCGGAACTGGGCAGATTGAGTCCTCAATTCAGCCACCCGCTCCGTTAGGCGGTCATTAGCGGACTGAAGGCGAGCCACGTCCCCCATGATGGTCTCAACGATCCCGGCGATAGCGAAAGAGTGGACAAAATACCTAATTGCCATATGATTTTTTATAATAGAGATAATAATCGTAACGGTAAAAGAGAATTCAAATAAAACAACCAATAGTGAAAACGGATATTATTACTACTTCTTGGTCAAGTTATTATTGAATACAGGTAATATTTTTCAGGAATCGTGATGTTAATGAAGTGTTCCGACACTAAAAATTTATTAAGTATACATATATTTAATAAAATATGATACATTATACATATTCTGACACTATTTACTACACTAGTATTTTCATAAAATAAATCTATGTTGCTCTCAACTAAGTGGAGATTTAGATTACATGTTCCTTTTAAGAAACTATTTAATTATAGAGAAAAGAAACACTAAGTGCCCAATTACTCTTATTACACAAATAAACCAGTAAAGTAATTATGGAAATATTGGCTATTATATATAAATTGTCACTGTGTAAAAAAAATACTCGCATGTTTACAATATTTGTTTGGTCAATCTACAAACTAAATTCTCTAAGTGAAATGATATTTTATTGACTGTAATTTAAGTATCCTTGGATGAACATGTGACAAAACCATAGCGAATAGCCATCATAGAACCATTACTTACTTTACACATGGATGTTTATAAAATACATCTCTTTGAATTATACAAAATACAAGAGACTTATAATATGTACATACACAAATAACACAAATCAATATCCATCTTCCCCAGAAAAACTATGTGATCTTACTGTCAGATTTATACAAAGTAAACAATATAAGTTTGCTTTGAATACATTTTTTTAACTTAAACAATCTGACAGAAAATTCATACAAGCTTTGTTTTAAAATTGCCAGATAATTACATATATTGTATGCTTATTTGACATAATGGACTGCTTTTTTATTCTTAATGACACATAAAACATGAAGATTACTCCTTTCATCACTTCTAGTACTAACATCATATAAAATAATACAAAAGAGATAATTAAATATAAAACATTGTCTCGAAGTCAAATTTCGATCTTGAACTAAGTACTAAAAGAACAGATGAGACAAACCTTGACATTTTTAATAAATACATACATACGAGAAATGTTTTATTTTTTCTTAGAATATAAGGGGGCAAACGAGCATACGGGTCACCTCAATACCGCCGTCACTTAGTCACACGTGCGTCAACCGGCTCTGGGAGTATCCGCCTTTGAGTTGTTTGTGCCTCAGGTAACCTCAGTCACTCTTAAGTACAACGTAAGCATTGTATAACACCCGACCTACATTACAATATCATTAAATATATAAAAATATGAAAAATAAATCATTTAATTTTTATGAAATAGAAATACCTACTTTATAAACATACGAAAACATCACAGGATGCATTGAACAATATAACTTGTTCTAATATATTTTATACGTCAATACTAGAGGATCCTTTCGTTTTCAAGTTTCATCAACCCATTCCTCAGTCTTTCATTATGTAATGTAATATTTAAAACTACTTTTGATAATGAGCAAATTAAAAAAGGACACAAACAGTTTGGTCTATAACACAACAACAATTTACAAAACAATTAAAAATGAAACAATAATAAATTAGGATATTTTTAAAGTTAATTAAATTAATATTCTGAACTAAAACATCTAAGACAACTAAAACTATTCCTTATGCATTAGATCTGATACTCACTTGTTACAGTCTAATTAATTTAAGAGATGCATTTTGACAGGTGAGTCACAGAACGTAACTATGCACGATTTATGAACGAAACATAAAAAAAATATTATTCATTCATTTTTGTTATTAGTAAGAATTTATAATACTGAAGTAAATAACTTCAGATTCATGGCCCGAGGTGCGTCGGGGTAGCAGGGATTACCTTTCTAGGGTACACCTGGTTCCTTGGCTACTGGTACCCGAGATGGCGTGCGTTGGTTCAAGTCCGACATAGCCACCGGTGGGTGGTATCCGATGGGATTTCCGCACAGAATAAAAAAGGGGGATTAAACAATGGCATGATTTTTTGTTTCTGCGAGACCTCCTAAATCAGTTACATTTTACGTTTACCTACGTTTAATTGTTACGGAGGTAAAGATTTTTCGATATATTAGCAAGGGTCTTGCTAAACCAGAGATCGCCTTTAGAATAATTAAATAGTTTATTCAATCGCTCAGTTCAGTTTAATTTCTTCTGCATGATCTGGAAGAAATGCTTAACAGACTAGATGATTCTTTAAGACGAGTGGGACTTGGGATGAACATTGGTAAGACCAACATCATATGTATGTAGGTATGTATCCCCGTGTCCTGTGGCCGCAAATGACGCTACTATCGAGGTCGTGCAGGAATACGTCTATCTTGGCCAAACTATCCAACTCGGCTGGCACAACATCGATGGAGTGGCCGATAGAAGTATTCGTCTGGGCTGGGCGGCATATGGGAAGCTTCGTCATATCTTCGAGTCGCCGATCCCGCAATCGTTAAATTCCAAGGCGTTTAACCAGTGCGTCCTACTCATAATGACATGGAGCCCAGACGTGGACACAAGTAGCTCAGCGTGCGATGGCGTTTCTCTAGTTGACAAGATTCAAAACTATTCGACAGAGACCTAGAGTAACCAACATCGCACGGAGGATCAGTACGGTGAAGTGGAAGTGAGCCGATCATTTCTTCAGGCGGACTGATGCAGATGGTCGCTGGAGCCGACGTGTGGTGGAGTGGAGATCGCGATTAGGTAAACGTATTGTAGGGCGCCCTGGGGTACTATGGACCGAAGCCGCGACGATCTGAGGAAAACGGCTGGTAGCGGATGGATGCGGACTGTCCAAGCCCGGGATGATTCAACAGTATGTAGCGATAGGCTGATGATGAAGTTTAATTTTACACTTTTCGTATAATTAAACGGAACTGAACAAACTAATTTATATTTAGTTTTAAGAATAATCATAAAATAAAACATTTGCGACTGTTTATGACGAATATTCGTTTAGTCACCTTACGAGGCAGCGTGTTAGTAATTTTTACTCTGACATGAAGACAGCACTTTGTCAGTCACTTTGTGTGAATCCGTAGTCCGTGTGGTGACGGATTAAGAATACAAATTGTCACCACCCCAATTCATCCCGTGGGTGTCGTAAGAGCCGACTAAGGGAGCAAACCAAGCAGGACAACAGCACTGCAAAGAGAAGGAAAACTTGAAACAAACCCTATACCAACCCGTCTGGCCAGCGTGGTATAGTAGGCCAAAACCTCCTTTCTAAGGAGAGGCCTATGTCCAGCAGTGGACTAGTATAGGCTGTTGATGATTGTGTGAATCAATATTAGTAATATGTGTTTGTTTTCCACTAGGCTCAATATTTTAAAACGATATGTTTTTATCGTAAATCATTTGTTTTCTAAATCGATCATTATAACTATCGAGATTCGCGTTTGAAGATACCCCAACCCTAAGCTACGACTGTCAAAATGCAACTGTTAAAATAATTTAACCATCGATACAGACGATTTTTACTTAACCCTTTTTAAATCGGACCGGAACTGGAATGAAAGTCTTGCGTGGCCTAGACCCACGGAATCACCCATTCACGAGAGGCCTTGTTTTAAGGTTAAATAGCACAAACTGAAGTTTAATGTTTATTAAACATTACATCTCCATGCGCACTTCGTCTATTTCTTTATAATCTTTAAGCAATAGGTATTTAGTGTCTAGTTTCGTCTAGGAGCGTCTGAGTCGCTACTATTTACAGAGCCCTGTTCTAATTTCTTTTTCACCAAAACGTCTTTTTCTTTTAAAACTTCATGTAAATCCTGCCACATATTCCTCTTGGTTTTAACTTTTTTACTGTTGATTCGATCCATGTACTTGTTTTTTAAGTCATCAGCATAATTTGTAGGTTGGTACTCGTTTGGCTCGCGCGCTTTTGTTACTTTCTGTTGCTGTGTTTCAGGAATCTTTGGTGATTTACATACAGCGGGTTCCTTTGCTTTATATGTAATAGGGCCTATAAAAACAGCCGGAGATTTTCGCTGGACAGTTTGGTTAACCGGTTGTTCACCTAACCATTGATTCACTTTATTTATTGATGTTTTTATTGCAGGATCTTGCTCAGGTTTTTGCTTCTTCGTAGTGACTCGTGTGGATAAAGCGGGCTCCGATTTTACGTCATTGCTTGAGCTGGCATGACTTATTGAGGTCATACTTTTGGGGCCCGGAGACGTTGATGCCGATGGTAGAGACGTGTCATTCGGCCCGGATTGGACGTTAACTGGGCTCTTTCGATTTTCGAAGAAGTCAGGGGTGATCAACTTTAATGTTTCGTCTGGTTTCCGAGCTGATGGTGTTTCATTATTCGTTGCGTACATACGTAATAATGTTGCAATTGCAAGGTTCTTTTGTTTTTTTAATTCGAAACAATTCGACTTTGCTGCGTAGCTAATGTGATTTTTTAATTTTGTTTTTAAATCTTCAGTTACACTTTCAGTCACTTTTTCCACTTCAGTCGCAATGGGATCAGTAATTTCGCCGTTTCCAGAACTATGTACACTTGTATCACTAATAGAAGTACTTTTTGGTGTAAATTCTTTGACGTTAGGATTTAGTTTGCTAGCTTTGCTTATAGCAATAACACAGTTCGACCGCTGTCCAATGATATCTTCGTTATCGCCCTCTTCGTCTGACCCTTGTACCTGAAATAGAAATTTCACAAATGAAAACTTGTTACTTGTATAAACAGGTACAAATTGAGCGGTATGTTGGGGCACCAGGGACTTCCTTTCTAGGGTATACCTGGTTCCCCGGCTATAAGTACCCGAGACGGCGTGCGGTTTTAGTCGGTTGAGTCCGACATGCCACTGACAGGTGGTATCCGAGGGGATTTCCGCACGGAAAAAAAAAGGTACAAATTGAGTAACTCAAAGTTCTAATAATACCTAATTATGTAAATTGTAATACCTAATATTGTTAAGTAAGTAATAAGTTGATGAGTGGCTCGTCCATATCTTATTAAGATCTATTCTTATATAATTATTTATTAAGTTGTCCTAAAAAATAAAACTTAAATATATGGTACAACTTTTACTTTCGGTAAATTAAAAGGCGAAAAAATCGAGTGAACCCTGCAGTAGTCCCATATAAATAAATAATAACTAAATAAATATAAATTAAATATACACTATCTGCATAATGTAGCAGCCATTTTCCTCCAGCCATCCTTTGGGTGATGCAGAGCAGTGTAATATATTTTTAAGAAATAGTAAGTTCGTTTTAAAAATAATTATTTTTTGTATTAGTCATGGATAACGGTGTATTCATCTCCATAAACTATCAAGGTGTCGACAAACTTGAAAAAACATGTTGATAATTTTGAAGATTCTTAAGTATCTAAGTTACATTCGACACGGTTTCAGTTAACACTTATTAGCTTCAAGTGTTTACCCATGCAAAGTCAAGAGGTCAGACTATTAAGCATAAAGCGATCGTGAAGTACAGAGAACTGTAACATAAACCACATAAATGAGATTTATCTCAAGTTTCTTGAACGCGATATTCTTAGTAAAAGAAATATGAGATTTGTTCCGAGTCACCTTTTAATTCGACTGCCCAAAAAGGGGATTATGTTTTTCGAGTGTTTGTATGTATATTTCTTTGGCATGCTCTGTAGTCTAAAGGGTTTGATGGATTTTGACGTTTGAGGTGTCGTTAGATTCGTAATAACTAGGTCGAGCGACCCAGTGTCATAATCGAACTAATGAGACAAAATAAGTCTCAGTAGTCCGGCCCCAAACAAATCAACCGAGCATCTGAGACTAGAGGACCCGGACCTGCTCGAGGTATTGCATAAATTATAAATGACATTTATTTCTGTAAGTAAATCTTTTCAGATATTTTTACAAGTCGGACTTCACAGCTAGAAGGAGCCGGCATTTCCTAAGACTCACTCTGGGAAGAAACGCCGAAACAAACCACAGAGGTGTCTTTTTTTTAAGCCCGTAAACAAAGTTAAATAAAACTGTGCGAGTACAGTATAGGGTCTTGGTAGGTCTCTTGAAGAAAGGACCATAGTTTTGAGTCGGCCTTTCTATACAGACGACATACAGGCCCCAGCCATTGTGTAGCTTAACCCATATTGATCAAGATCAACGACCCGAAGCATGACACTACCGCCAGCAGGATATTTGGGTAGGTAAAGTTTTAAAGTTTATTTCAGAGTGTCTTAAAAAAATTCTCTCCGTTGCGCTCTGCGCAGGCGCTATCTCTCTTTTCTCAATAATCTCATCTAATCCCTAACGAGCCCGGTCGAGGGCAATGTTCTTGCATTCATTTCAGATCACGAATAGTGTGGTTTTATAACATTTAGCCTATATTGGTTTTGTTTGCGACTTTACTAGCGTAAAACTTAATTTTTGCAATCCCTCAAGAATATTTTATTATCAAATTATTTATTGTTTAAGTAAAATTTTATACCGGCAGCATTTGGGCACGTTAAGGTATAAAGATTTTTTACTCTTTTATATTTAGGGGCTTGTAGTCAAACATAAGACCATGTCAGCCCTAGCGTACCCTAAACTTACAATGTACTTTCTCTAAATTTAACTTAATTATAACTTAGGTCGATAGAAAATACTTATACTAATAATACTGCAATATAAATTACAGTTCAAATCTATACAAATAAATAAAATTGAAGTGTCTGTTTGTATTGTCAAAATAATAGGTTTTTTCCATCCTAAAAACTAGTAATCTTCAAAACGGCTGGACCGATTTTGATAATATTTAACTACCAAGTAGCTGTCTATAATAAGGAGTAACTTATGCTTTTTTTGTATCAGAAAAACCCTATTAAATTTTGCCTGGTCCGGGAATCGAACTCACTAAGGCAGCGCTTGTCAAATTCCACGCGAACGAAGTCGCGGGCACTAGCTAGTAATTTATAAAATAACAACGCTGCTTCTGACAGAGGCTTTGACAATATACTTTGAAACATGCCAACATCTATTATATTAATTTTTAACCTATTCAGCAGAGCCTTTCTCACAGCCCTAGTTTTGACACATTCCATCAAAAAATGACAGACATCCACAACAACATTATTCACAACTAGCTGACCCGCGCAACTTCGTCTGCGTCTCTCAATAGTAATAAATTTTCTCCGTTTTTGAAACATTCTTCATTGGTGCTCCGCTCCTACTGGTCTTAGCGTGATGATATATAGCCTATAGCCTTCCTCGATAAATGGGCTATCTAACACTGAAAGATTTTTTCAAATCGGACCAGTAGTTCCTGAGATTAGCGCGTTCAAACAAACAAACAAACTCTTCAGCTTTATAATTTTAGTATAGATTCGAGCTGGTACTTATACCCATAAGATGTCGAAACATGTTGAGTGGGACTTGTTGAGTGTATGGTCGTAGATCATATAAAGAAGATTTAATTCTTAATTTAAATATATAAAAGACCCGACACAAAAAAAAACAACAACTGCTCATTGAGACTGTTCCAATAAGCCAAACATGGTATATATGGGGTCTACCAATAAGAACGTCCTGGTTTAAAAATGGAATAAAACACACCATTTTTTTATGAAAAATGCATCCGATTGATTTATTTGATAGATAATTTTATGACTTTTATGTTTTAAATAATATATCGGCCAAATGACCGCCGCGGCTCTTTTTGCAGACGGTCACCCGCTCACGCCAATTTTCGATGACGCGGTGCACCATTTCGGCCGGTATGTCGGCTATGGCTCGTCGAATGTTGGTTTTTAGGTATTTACAGGAATTGTAGCTGGATTATTGCTGTACACTTTAGATTTAACGTAACCTAGACAGACCTAGACGTTAGACATTTCGAGATTATAGTCCAAACACAAATAACATTATATAGTGATCTGCTGGTACTTAAAATAGGATAACCTGTGCTATAAGTACCAGCAAACTCTGCAGTATCACTAAAATACATTTTTAGCTGGTTATAAAACAATAAAGATGCAATAAGAACATCTAAACTACAATAGCTTGAAAGCAAGAAAAACATGCAATTAACTTAGGTATGTGTGTCTGTGTGTGTGTGTGTGTGTGTGTGTGCGCGCGTGTGTGTATGCGTGTGTTGGGTTCCGTGACTGCCTGTGGATCTCGGTGTCAGTGTGTGGGTTTTTGTTATGTTTATATTTGAAGTCTGGTCTACAGTTCGTAAACAAAGAAATTTTACACAACTGTGATACAGCCCTCGGGGCTTGTTTAGAAAACGTGTAAAGAATGTTACAAAAATGAATTTGATCATTTCTGTTTATCTGAATATGAGTTTCGTTCAAAACTTAGGTTCAGCAAAAGATATGGAAGAAAAAATATTTAATTAATTGTGATTGACATTAAAAAGCAAGCTCGGGGTGGTGGAATGTCAAAAGAACTAAGTTTGTACTAAAGGACAATTCTCGTATAAATAAATAAATGAAGTATTAAACATCCAACGTTTTCTGTAATATGATTATATCGTATTGTAACTGAAAGTTGAGTCAGTAATCTGCTTTTCCGACATTTTTATATAAGTATGTTTATCATCATCCTAAACCAATCCACTGCTGGACATAGTCCTGTCCTTAGAAAGGAGGTTTTGGCCTACTATACCACGGATTATAGACGGATTGGTATAGGGTTTGTTTCAAGTTTTCCCTCTCTCTGCAGGGGTGTTGTCCTGCGTAGTTTTCTCCCTTAGTCGGCTCTTACGACACCCACGGGATATATACCTCAGCCTATGCTTATATGCTTATGCTTGTCCACTGCTGGACATAGGCCTCTCCCAATGATTTCCAGCGGGGACGGTTGATTGCGGCCTGCATCCAACGGTTTCCGGCAACCTTTACCAGGTCGTCCGTCCATCGGGTAAGCGGTCGTCCCACACTGCGCTTTCCAGTACGTGGTCTCCATTGGAGAACCTTGCTGCCCCATCGGCCGTCAGTTCTCCTTGCTATGTGCCCTGCCCATTGCCACTTGAGCGCGCTAATCCGTTGGGCTATGTCGATATGTTCTCCTGCGGATCTCCTCGTTGCGGATTCGATCTCGCAGGGAAACGCCAAGCATAGCCCTTTCCATAGCACGCTGAGCGACTCTGAGCTTTCTGATTAGACCATAGTAAGAGACCACGTCTCAGTTCCGTAGGTCATCACTGGTAACACACACTGGTTGAAGCATTTCGTCTTTAGGCACTGAGGTATTTTGGACGTGAGGACCTTTCGTAATTTCCCGAACGCTGCCCAGCCGAGTCGGATTCGACGATTGAACTCTTTCTCGAAGTTGGACTTACCTAATTGGACCGTTTGTCCTAGGTAGACATATTCGTCAACAACTTCAAGGACAGAGTTTCCCACGACTATGGGAGTCGGCGCGACATGAACATTCGGAGAAATAACGTCTCCCTGTCTTACCCCTCTCTGTAATGGAATTGCCTTTGCCAATTATTTAACAAACACTTCAATACCTCGATGTACCGATAGTCAATACGGCTCCGCTGGAGAGACCTAAAGACTGCCCAAGTTTCGATCGAATCGAAGGCTTGCTCATAGTCCACAAACGCCAAGCATAGTGGCCGATTATACTCCTCGGTCTTCTGTATAATCTGCCGCAGCGTATGTATGTGGTCCATGGTAGTAAAGCCTTTTCGGAAACCGGCTTGTTCGGGAGGCTGGAAGTCATCAAACCGACGTTGGAGACGATTCGTGATGACTCTTGAAAACAGCTTGTAGACATGGCTCAGCAGTGTGATGGGCCTGTAGTTCTTCAATAAGGTATTATCGCCCTTCTTGAAGAAAAGTACCACCACACCCCTGTTCCATGACTCTGGCGTGTGTCCCTCGAGCAAGACGGAATTGAAGTAGTGTGATTCTAGACGGCCGTGTGAGATGTGTGAAGTTATTATTATTACCTACACGTGTAAGACAGTTACAAAATCAAAGTTAGTTTTAAAATTCCATGTCCTTATATGAATGGGCACAGATTGCTGACTCACTACGCTGGTTGCTGTAATATCAAGTTGCAAAAGTGGAGCAATTAAACGATACACTGCTGACTACATGAGGAATGTGGTTATTGAAGACTAGCTGATACCCGCGACTTTGTCCGCGTGGAATTTGATATACAATATTTATCTATAAGTATGTGTGTTTTTAAAAATAATATAGAAAGTGGAGGTGAGCGCTGATGCGTCGCAAGGATTACTCCCTAAACCTACTCCCACGCGATGGAACCGGCACCCGCACGATGAATTCATGGAACGCTAAGAAATAGGTCTCAAGACTAGCATATTACCGATTCAATTTTCGATTACAATCTATACTAATATTATAAAGCTGAAGAGTTTGTTTGTTTGTTTGTTTGAACGCGCTAATCTCAGGAACTACTGTTCCGATTTGAAAAATTATTTCAGTGTTAGATAGCCCATTTATCGAGGAAGGCTATAGGCTATATATCATCACACTAAGACCAATAGGAGCGGAGCACCAATGAAGAATGTTTCGAAAACTGAGAAAATTTATTACTATTGAAAGACGCAGACGAAATTGCGCGGATCAGCTAGTAAGATATAATCACATTACAGTCAACGTTGGGTGTTTAATGCTTTACTACGCAAATACCATTTACGAGAGTTGTGAGATCAAGAGGTGATCACTAAATTGTGACCGATCTTTTATTACGAGAAGAGGCCTACAGCTTTGTAGCATATTGACCTTTTTTTTTAAAGACAACATAACGCATTAAAAATATATTCCTGTATCGCTGGGGACTTTACAAACATACATGAAACGGACACAAAGAACACCCAGACTCAGAACAGCAATTTGTGGATCACACAAAGTGGGTTTGAACCCACAACACTAGGAAGCGGCGTGGCGACCGTGGTATTTTGACCAAAAGGTCACACACGGTAGCTAAGGTTATAGCAGATTTCTCAAGTATAATAGATGATCAAAGTTGACGTATTGCATATTTTGTGTAATAAACATATCGCATAGTTTTGTATAAAGAAATTACATGTACAACAGTTTTTATAATGCTTACTAAGCATTGAAGTAACATCAATTGCAACATTTAGCTGACGCAGCAAATCTTTTACAGAAATACATTAACTTACCAGTCTTAATAAGTTAGTTATGCCTTGAAGGTCTGGCGGAGTATTATCAGGAATTGCATCTTTTCCCGCATGCATAGAATCCCCAAAATGAAGCCACATTTCCTCATCTGCAATGGATAATAAATATTCTATCAATACATTTTACACAATTATAGATAGTTCAACTGAGTTGTGCGCGCGGCCCTATGTGTGCGTGGGCTTGTAAATATACAACTTTCATTCGTGTGGCAGTCGTCGTCTGAGCACCGCGCACAACTGAGTTGAACTATCTATAATATAATTAACATCACATCACATCAACAGCCTGAATAAAAATATAATATAAATAACCTCACACATGACTGTCTGATCCCAAACTAGGCAGACCCTGTACTATGGTAACCAGACTGCTGATAAACATACTTAAATATTTCTAAATACATACATATTATAGATAAATTACACCCAGACACAGAACAAACGATCATGCTCATCACACAAATATTCGTCCTGGGTGGGAATAGAAACCCACGACATCCGGTTTAGCAGTCAGGTTCACTAACCACTAGACCAACAGGCCCGTCGTATATAGTCCACTGCTGGACATATGCCTTTTCATAAATAGGTTTTGGTTTATCAATTTTATATTCTTGTTGAACTCTGACGGCCTACTATGGGAAATTGAGATTGTTCCGATCAAAAATCAATAACTTTTTTATTCGTCAAGAAGGACGATTGAATTTTTGCACAAGCATAGAGTTTTATATAAGGCTTCAGATAAAGTTCAGATGTAAATGTTTTTTTAGAGAGAATTATTTAATAAATGATAAAAACAGCAGGTTTTAAGAAAGGACCTTTATTTTATTTTATGAAAGTAAATGTAATTCACGCTTAGAACACTTGAAAGTAGTAGACATTTTGAAATTCAGCAAAGATACGAAACAGCCAAACGTCTGTTTAGTTTATTCATCATCAACAGCCTATACTAGTCTACTGCTGGACATAGGCCTCTCCTTAGAAAGGAGGTTTAGGCCTACTATACCACGCTGGCCAGACGGGTTGGTATAGGGTTTGTTTCAAGTTTTCCTTCTCTTTGCAGTGCTGTTGTCCTGCTTAGTTTGCTCCCTTAGTCGGCTCTTACGACACCCACGGTATGAATTGGGGTGGTGACAATTTGTATTCTTAATCCGTCACCACACGGACTCTTTAGTTTATTACGAATTTGTAATAACGACATTAAAGGGAGCAACTCTGGTGGGTGGTGTGCATTTTGTTTATTAAAGTTGCAGACAAACTGAGTGCAAAATTTAGATAAAATGCCCTATTATCAATAAACAACTAATATTGAATAAAAATATAACACAAACTAATCAATTAAATAGTTAGACAATAGATAGTGGTTTTCCGTTTCCTGACTTGTATCAAACTTTTCGTGATAACTTCGTAAACCGCACGTATCCGAAGCTGATTTTTATAACTGTTTTTTATGAATATCTACACTACAAACAACATCAAATGTAAAGTGTCGGGAGTTGTTGGTAACCATCAACAGCCTCGATGAAGTTAAAAAATTTACCCTCACTTCTTGTTATTTTTTTTTTCATAGAAATATAATAATAACACCTACAACATTATAATTGCTTCAAATTCTACATACAATGGGCTTTTTAGAAATGTATTATACTTTATAACTATTCCCACAAATTATTGAAATAAATTAATTTTAAAGTATTGAAGCAAAACAAACCTGAAATAGACATTCTTAAGATTTACATTTTGTTGTCAATGCATCAATAACGTTATTAATAAAAACGATTTTTGATATGCCATTGTTTTACCGTTGTCCATAGTGCGGCCCCAGGGCAGAGGTGATGTTAATGACTGCAACAGTTCTCTTAACTAATGCAGAAATTTTCGCACATAATATTACTGTTATCCTTGTTTTAGATACCAATAAAGCTACTATTTATAAAAAAAAACAAAAATATTACTTATTTTTATTTATTTATAACTTTTTGCACAAGTACCTACATGCATCGGCAGACTTAAGGCCTAAGGCATTCTCTGCCAGTCGAACGATTCAATCTACTCAGAGATATGCTAGTTGTGATGCCCATAGAGCATTTTTTTTTTTGTATAATTTTTATTGTCTGTACATATGATTCATATTCTTTTTTGTACAAGGAAGATATTGTCAATATATTAAATGTTTAAAATCTATCTTTTTTTAAATGTGTTTTTTATGTAGAAATGAAGCCAATAAAATCATACAGTGTGTTATACTACACCTAAAATAAAAAGTATCCAAAAACTATTAATATTTCAAAAAAAAAAGTAGATTTAGGATCTACCCTTTTTTTGAAATGTTCATATTACTTAGTTGTTTTTATTGAATGAGATTAAATACAGCTTTGGTTTTCTTGGGAGTTTCTTTACATAAACATCTTTACATAACAGATGAAGGGACAGGATTTTGCCAGACAGTAGTTCCATTGGTTTTATCTACCAACCTTACGACAAAAGAAGTAATAAATAAGTGTGCATCTGAAATAAGTTCCGACTCAACTGGAAGTTTATGCTTATATTCGCTTTGCCCTGATGAACCATCACATCCCCATTTGCTATACAAAATCATGTTTTTTAATCCATTTTAACAGCTTTGTTTGCATTCCTGGATTCTATAGTAATAATCATACGTATGTTGTGTTGGTTCAACAACTCTTAACAGAACAGAACAGGACAGGACTAAACATGTTTCCATTAACAAGGAATGACCTAAGGGCCAACTCTCATTATAAAAGTTCAATCTCAATCCAGTTTTGATCAACTTTTAATCTTACAACTGACTGTCCTAAAAGGCATTTTCGTAGTAAAGTATTAATCATCCAACATTGACTGTAATGTGATTACTTATATTGTACTAGCTGACCCGCGCAACTTCGTCTGCGTCTCTCAATAGTAATAAATTTTCTCCGTTTTTGAAACATTCTTCATTGGTGCTCCGCTCCTATTGGTCTTAGCGTGATGATATATAGCCTATAGCCTTCCTCGATAAATGGGCTATCTAACACTGAAAGAATTTTTCAAATCGGACCAGTAGTTCCTGAGATTAGCGCGTTCAAACAAACAAACAAACTCTTCAGCTTTATAATATTAGTATAGATTGTAACCGAATTTATCGAAGATCGAAAGTTGATCGGAACTGAATTGTGACCAACTTTTATTACAAGAATTGGCCTTCTGTACCCTATTATTAACAACTATAAAGTCAAAACATTATGTTGCATAACTACTTGTTTTAACATGTGTGTAACATGTTAAGACAATCAGTATGTTACAGTAAGTACAAGGTAGAACTTGTTCATTTGGATTGTTTTTTTTATAAAAGACATAAAAGAACAAGACAAGGGGACAAACGAGCATTCGGGTCACCTGACGGAAAGAGTTTATTTCTATATTCATATTTTTACATAAAAAAGGTAAAAAAGTAAATTAAAAAGAAAAAGTAAACTTACCTTCTTCTTCAATCAATATAGGGGGCGGCTTGTCACCCTTCACAAGGTAGGTATTGTCAAGGTTCCCCAATCCCCGCCTTCCATTCGATAGCTTCTTAAGGGTTTCCAAAACCTGATCCTCCGTCGACCATGCTGTTACTGAATTCATATTGAACCAGTAATTATAGTTCCTTTGCACCTCACTTCAATCCAATAAGTTTTGTTTATTCAAAAATTAGCTCAATTTAACTGTGTACCTTACAGCTAAATTTATGTCTATATTAAGATATGTACAAATAACACCTCCTGAACAAAGACGCAACGTACGACAGACGATGCAACAACGAATTAGATGACCCTAGTGTTTAAGAGATAAAACAAAAGTAACTAAAACGTAACCGTCAATCAGTATTTTACAATCATAGACAAAACACTATAAATCTAAGAATTACAATTTACTCTGTGCCGTCAGTGGCCGTCAGTCAATAAAATGCCCACATATTGAACAATAGTACTCTGTGACATTGATATGTGATGCCCACGATCACAGAGTACCAGTGTGACCGTTATAAAATATTAATAATCTACTAAATTCCGCAACTTTTTTTTCTAAAATCTACTGCAGTAAAAAATCTACCGAAATTCTACCAACCTACATTTAGATGCATTTGAACAATGTGGTTAAAATAAAACACGGTTAATTTAATTAGATTGAGCATATTTATTACCATTACATTTTTTGCTTAATCTAATCATTTTAGAATTAGGTACAAATTTGTACAATTTTCTCCACTGTCAATTATAACTTGTTTTGTGTGCAAAAGCGTGTAGCCGCTTTTCTTCTCAGGCGGACTACTCACCGGCTGACCCAGTGGAGAGATTGATGAGATAACCTCAGGGCGCCTTTTTAAGAGAACAGATGTGTGTGCGTGTGGGAAACCTACGGGATTTACTAGAGGAAAACAACTTACACCTCAGTCATACATACATGTATATTAAAATAAAAATAAAAACAAAATTACGGTTACAATAAAAAACAGAGGGTATAAGAAAACCCGCAGCGGAGCGCGTCAGAGCCGAGCTGATGGTGCTCGGTGCCTCCTTGTCTTCACTCCAGGAGGTTACTTCCTCTTCCGCCCGAGTCGGCTATTTATATTAGATATTGATAAAAGTTAAACAATTTGCATTTATAAGTATATAGGTAAGTACGTAACCCTTGGGTACGGCTGTCCGCTTGCGTCGTGAGCCGCGCAATCACCAGCTTGCCAGAGGGTACCGAGAAACTTGAGTCTGAACCAGAAGGCCACAAACGAGCAAGCACGCCGTCTGAGACTGACCGTCTTGACCCCGAAATCTGGGACCCTACGAATGGATTAGCACTCATATAATTAATCAGGTTCCAGAAACAAATAGGTTTAAGAAAAAATTAAGACCATACTCACCACTCTTGTGGGTACTTTTGAACAGATAATATATTACGAAAATCAAATCACACAGCAATCAAAACACTATTTAAGATCGGAAGGCACGAGATAGCAGTGTCTCCCGTGGCTAAAAGCCGGACTTATATATCTTCGTTTCCAGAAGCTTCCAGAAATTAACCCCTCTTCAACATTTTACTTTGACATTTAAATTACCGACGAGGATTAACCCGACCAAGATCAAAAGTAACTCCTTCCTACCATAGCAGAACACTCTCAATACCTATACAATTTGTCATGATAGATCAATACTGACTTATCCACAAACAAAAACGCCATCTAGTGGTCCGACAGTGAACACAGAAGATCAATACTGTAGTTATAAACTACTTTAGATAAATCAACAACAATGCAACGCGGCCAATAGATGTCGCTTTTAACAAGACCGTACGCATTACAAATATACAAAAAAAATAACTGTTACAAGCGATGATATGTGTGTATTTAAAAATCGATTAAGATTTTTAGCTTTAATTAAATTAGCTTGTGAAAATATCGCTCACACTTCTTGTGAGCGTATATTTTCGTTCGATACGGCAAACATATCATCGCTTTTGCGAATTTACAGATATTATCATATTTCAATTTATTTTAACTATCTGTTAATATATGAACGCTCGCCCTATACCGTTAACAGTCACACTGCAGAGTATACTTACATTAATGGAAACCTATGTTACCAACAGTTAAATGAAGTCTCCACCAGATTCAACATCTAAAACGACAAGAAAACCTCTAACGAAAACAACCCTACTCTAATAGGCACTAATTTTTACACAAAAGAAAACAAGTCCTCTACAATCTTACTATTCTAACCACAAAAAAATCCACTAGCCTCTAAAAACAAAATTCGAAACCAAAAGCGATGTTGAAATCAGCAGTTTTAGTGAAAAATCCACTAGGTTGGCAGCCCTGCCTACGATGAATGAAACAAAGACTACAAACGACTACAAACTACAATGGACAATGGTATATGTCAATGTCACTTAAAAACTGAGTGACCAAAGAGGTACAAGCATAGAGAGTATGCGCAAAATGTATCACTGAGCTAAAAATATTGATACATATCATTTCGTTCTAAAGATATATATCACTCATCTAGCTCACTAGCTCATTTAGCTCACTAACTCGTTTAGCTCACTAGCTTTTGATCGAATTCACTTGATTGGTCTCTCAATTAATTCATTTCTTCATCTAGATCGTTTAGCTCAGTATACTCGTATATCACTCACTTCAAGCCTCTCTGGCCATACAAATCTTTCTTTATTTTCGTATTATACTAAATTCAGTTATTGAAACTACATTTTTAACCTATTTAAGAAAAAAAAATTATTCATTTTGATCCATCATCAGCCTATCGCAGTCCACTGCTGGACATAGGCCTCTCCCATTGCACGCCACTTAGATCGATTTTGGGCTTCTCGCATCCAGCTCCTGCCAGCCATCTTGCGCAAATCGTCACTCCACCTGGCCTGTGGGCGTCCTACACTACGTTTGTCGATAACCTAATTATTAACAGCCTTTTATATAATCATTAAAAAAAAGAAATTATTTCTTGTACTTTTTTTTAGGTTGTAAAATAGAAATCATACATAATTTGGTTTTCCTTGTACTTGGCAGGCTTAATTCTTAAGTAATTTTAAACTTTGATCCTATAAAAATAATGTACATTTTGCATAAAGAAACTTGCGTGAACTCAACCATCATCATTCATTTATCACTCATTTATCTTTAGTCTCACTCGCTCATGAAACAAAGATCGGCGTCGTTGAGCTAGTGATCTAGTGAGCTAGTACCACGGTACAACTATAATTGCACCGTGCTAGTACTGAGTTACTGATATATTCGGAGCAAGTGTGAGTGAGTGATACATTTTATCGTCGTGAATGATATTTATCTTTTATATCACTCACTCAGGAGCTACACAACTCTAATAAAGAGAACCATCCATCTCTCTCGTTGCCTATATCTTGGGATATAGGCAACGAGAGAGATGGATAAATAAATATTCAAATTTTCGCGATAGCGTGTCCAGCTAAGTTCAAAGAAAAAAGAACTGGAGACTCAGCAGCCGTGTGTAGTATTACAAGAACCATTTCGACCAATTCTCACCCCTTCACAACTCGAAAACTATTTAATCTAAATGATGTATGAAATATGAAATAATGAATGAAATTCGGCACATTTATTACCGCCACCAAAGTTTGCAGTAATTTATTTCTGTATAATAGAAAGCTACGAAATCAATGACTTGACTCCAAAATTCATGAGAAAGACGAAGATCAAGAAGATACTACACTGCATTATTGGACCAAAATAAGTTTTCTATTAGCATCATATTCCGAAAATTTTGTGTAAGAGCGGTTACTACGTATTGTGTTTCGTGGTTAGACGTTTTTTAGACAACTACCTAATTATTCCTGAAATATTTCCTACAAATGTAAAAATAAACAGACCCCAGCTCAAAATGAAGAGTGAGTACTTTTAAATTTACTCTCAAGTCCGTTTTGATTTTGAAACAGAATGTTGTTTGTTTTCTTGCTTCGCACAGTGATGTAAAAAAACTTGTACGATTAAAAAAAAATACCGATTAGCAACTTCAATTTAATAAATTATTCTACAGATTTTAGGCGAACGGTTTTCTTCTAATCTAGAGGAATTTTAGAAAACAGCCAGCGACTTTTATTTTTGTTCAACGGCAACACTGCATACAATCCTTTGACAGTTTGTCTTTCAGATAAATACATGACATTGGCGTAAATGTTGTTACACTTTGTATAGCACTTGTCTATCACAAAACTTGAATTTATGTAAATGTTGGAAAGAAATTAAGTGTCATTTATTCTTTCTCCTTGTACAAGTTCTTTGTGTATCATGGGTGATGAAAAAGCTGAAGATTCACTGGCAGAATTGTCTCATGCCACAGAGAGTTTAAAGATTGAGGGAGAACATAAAGAAAACGGAGACACAGTGAAATCAGAAAAAGTTAAAAGTAAGAATAACACGACAACCTTTAACCTATAGTCTACGCTCACGCTCCTTAAATCCTGTTTTTTTTTAATGTTTAATTTTTATTAATTTGAAGATTTTTATTATTAATAAGCAACCGAGCACCTCCTTTCTAAGAAGAGGCCTATGTCCTGCAGTGGACTGTTAAAGGCTGTTGTTTAGATGTGATGATGCGAGCCGAGCACGAGCCCAAAAGCCTAAAATCGATCTAAGTGGTGTGCAATGGAAGAGGCTTATGTCCAGCAGTGGACTGATGGTGATTAGCACAAGCCTATCAGCCTGTCTATTCAGAGAATGTGGTTTCTATTCAACCTCTTAATAATCTGATCCATTTTCATTCAGTCAAATGCTAAATGTATACATATATGTATTGTGTACAATTTTTAAATACCTGACGGGCCTGTTGGTCTAGTGGTTAGTGACCCTGACTGCTAAACCGGAGTTTGTGGGTTCGATTCCCAGCCAGGACAAATACAGTGTGATGAGCACGGTCATTTGTTCTGTGTCTGGGTGTAATTTATCTATAATATGTATCTATTTAGAAATATATAAGTATGTTTATCGGCAGTCTGGTTACCATAGTACAGGCTCTGCCTAGTTTGGGATCAGACAACCATGTGTGTGATGTAAGAGATATGTTATTATACCAGACAGCTAAGCACCAAGTTGGATTTGATTTTAGACAGATAGTAATATACTTTTGATACAGTTAAGAAAAAAGCCCACAAGCCCGTTTAAGGTCTCTAGCTGGGTATGGCTATTTAGAAAGAGTAGATAATATTTAGTTTTTCAAATATTTTTATAAACAACAATATTTTGAACTATTTACTTCTGCCATCTTATATACTCACTGACTAAAGAGAATAAACGAGAAACAAATGTTGATATATTTCTCTCCACTTCGCTCAAGAGTCCCTTAGAAAGTGTACATTTTCTTGATAAAAGTATCTTTATCTTATCTTCCTATCCTATCTTTAAAAATTATATACTATATTAAAAAAATACAGTGAGGAAGATGGTCAAAGAAATTCTCATTTAAAATGTATACATTAGCTGAAATATGCATGGGCGTAGTCAGCTTTTACTCAGGGGTGGGACAAAAGTTAGGGGCTAGTGGCTAAGTGGTAACCGAGTATTTTAACACATTGCAAAGTTAAGCAATCATAGCCAAGTAAGTCTATGGATGGGTGACCATTTATTATGGATTGCAATGGAACCTGCTACTTCATGAAATGTTTTAAATGTTTCGTCACATGAAAGAACAGGTGTAAGTCATGGTGGAGGGTGTGGCAAGCCCATGGATATCTGTATATAGGTATTTCTTAAAATTTTTCAGTTGATATTCTATTAAAAGCAACAGGAAATGCACCAATAATGAAGAAGAAAAAATGGGCTGTAGATGCAGAGAAGCCAATTGGTTGGATAATGGAGTTCGTAAAGAAGTACCTCAAATTGGAGCCTGATGAGAAACTGGTACAAATTTAATTAAGTTAATTATGCTAATTTGTTATGGTATTGATGGGCTATTTTCAGCTATGATTGCCATTCCAACTACTGAAAATATTTTATCAAAGTTCATATGCAATGAACCTGCTTCAAACACTGTTTTTATCTAGTATAGTAACTAAAAGTAAAATAGTGTGTAAGGGACATACTCAAATAGTGTATTGAGACCATGATTCAGTCAAAAATCATTGGAATTTTCTGTCGGAAAATTAATCATTTTTTTTATAATTTTCAATTTTTTTTTGTTTAAAAATTATGTCAAAATGATCAAAAAGAACATTTCACCGAAAACAAATTAATAAATACTGCATACGGTCAAAAACTGCAATGTAATTAATCAAACAGCCGAAGAGCGCGGGGCCTCCCCTCCGGCCGCCAACTTGTGTTAGTGTGCGTAGACGGTTTACACGAAATACACATATGTAGTTATTACTTTTGTGCGATACCTAGGGGAAATGACCTTTAGTTTTGACAGCTGATTACGTAAAAAGTTTAACTTTCCGACAGAAAATGCCAATGATTTTTGACTCCGAATAATGGTCTCAATGCACTACTTCAGTATTCGTTACGATGTCCCTTACACCCTGTATAAAAAAGTCATATCCAACTTAAACCAGTTCTAGGAAACACCATCCACACTGGATAGAAGAGGTGGCAACAACTTTTAAATAAAGATGTTGATGCTTCTTGTGCTCTCTCAAGAGTCTGTCTTATCTATAAAGTGTTTCTCAAGCGGAGGAAGTGACTGAAGAGAGACAACTTTTCGTTTATGTGGTGACAGATTAGTTTTTTTAGTTAGCTAGTACTTTTTTTATGGTATAAGTGGGCAAACGTGCAGACGGGTCACCTGATGGTAAGCAACTACCACCGCCCATGGACAGCTGCAACTCAAAGTCACAAGTGCGTTGCCGCCATTAATTGCTTAACACCGGTTTTCTGTGAGGCCGTGGTATCACTCCGGTCGAGCCGGCCCATTCCTGCCGAAGCATGGTGGAGAGCCAAAAGCTATAGTAACTAAGTACTTATTTGATGAGTATAGCCGCTAATTGGCTGACGATTTAAAATAAAAAGTAGGCTCTACTGGGAGTTCTTTAGCACCCCAAAAAAAACATCCTGCCTACACCACATGTGCTCATGTTTCACACAACTGATTGCAGAATAACAAAAGGAAAAAATAAATGAAAAAGAAGTTAGCTGGTTTAAAATATGTTTTGTTATTAAATTAACTTTATTTTTTTCAGTTTCTGTATGTAAACCAGACCTTCGCACCATCGCCTGATCAAATAGTGAAGAATTTGTACGAGTGTTTCGGCACCGATGGCAAATTAGTACTTCATTATTGTAAAAGTCAAGCATGGGGTTGATTTATGAATTGAATTGTACAGATTTTAACCTAAAATGTAAATAATATCGGATGAGATGTTTTTGTTTAAAACTTATTATAAGGCTTTAAAGTAAGTGGACTTCCAATGATTTTAGACTCCCTCTGTCCATTTTATAACTGATTTTAAAATAGTACTAGCTGAGACCCGCGGTGTTACCCGCGTTTGTTGTTATGTCTAAAAAAAGTAGCCTAAGTTACTCTTTATGTTATCAGCTATCTGCCAGTGAAAGTCCCGTCGAAATCGGTCCAGCCGTTCCAGAGATTACCCGGAACAAACAGACAGACAGACAAAAATTGAAAAAATGTTATTTTGGCATATGTACTGTGTAAACATACATATGCATTTAGTGGTTATTTTAATATTACAAACAGACTCCAATTTTATTTATTCGTTATAGGTGATTGTAGATCATTTTTGTTCATATCTCTGAACAATCTATGAATCATTGATACTGAAATGCATTCTCCTGTTCCGAATTATACTTAAGAGTAAAAAAATAATTACTACCTGTGCAATAATTATGATTAATGAATAAAAATTAAGTGTCACCGACACTGGCTGTCACCTTCATGGATTTTCCCCGCGCTTTGTCTCTCGACCATTGATTCGTTGAAACTTCGCGGCCTTGCAACAAAACTAGTCCCTCTATAGCCCAGTATAATTTTTAGACAGTGAAGCTAATTATTTTCTTTTATTTATAATTAAAAGTTTTAATGTACAGTTATGCTTAGTCCTGCGAACGACAATTCATTGGGCATGTTGTAAAATATGATATGTAATACATAGATTAAGTATCTATTATTAAAGTTTATATAGTAAAACAATATTTTATTTTCATTTACCTTTTAATATTTATCTGTTTGATTTTATATTTCTCTATACAAACTCGAAATATGATTTCATCATTTCATATATTTGGTATTTGACGACCGGATGGCGTAGTTTGTGTGGTTTGTGTAACGGACTGCTATTCCAAAGGTCGCCGGCTCGATTCCCGCTCAAGTCAAACATTTGTGTGCATGAACATTTGATTTGGTCTGGGTGTTTCTATGTATAATATGTATGTATTTACAAAAAAAAAGTATGTATGTATTTATATCAGTTGTCTAGTACCCATAGTACAAGCTCCGCTTAGTTTGGGACTAGATGGCGTTGTGTGTATGTGGTAGAATATTATTATTTATTATTATAAAAAAAAATACTATACTGTAATTTCTTTCCATGCTGTACACTGCATGTTATACAACTAAAGTATGTGCAGTGCATACCTAAATACATACATACGCACACGTTTTTATCTAGTATACAGGGGCTTCGTACTATTTCTTAGTAAGATTTTGTAAAACTTAACTTTTTAACGTCGTACGTATTAACGTAAATTACGTATTATCTAAAATTTACGAATCACCTTTGTAGGATACATTAAAATGAAAGCTTAAAACACAATGTGGCAATATATTTATTAAATTATATTTTATTGTCTCATCATTTCTTGTCACCACCACCGCTTACGTACTCTTTACTTGTGGTCCGTGTAGGTAAATTATCTGTGGATAAAAATACGAGACATCAATGAATAATACACCTGAGGCCCTAGTATTAAATTTTATTAATCTGGTTTTAAGGCATAAGTATCGTGCAAACCGTGTGAGCATAACAAAAACCTATTATTTTGACATTACAAACAGACACTTCATTTTTATTTATTTGTATATATAGATGTTTGACATCTCGACTAGAATTAGTCTGAACCTGTACATTTGTAATCCTACGTCTCTATATCGCTAAAACATTAGCAGAGACTGTTCCATATCTATGGAGGTAGAGTTACTGTGGACACCATATCGAATGCTTTACCTGTTGGTGGTTTACAGCATTTGGTTCCAGGTTTGCTTGCAGAAGATTTCTTACTGTCATCGCTGCGACCGGTGGGCGCTTCACAAGGACAGCAGGAGTGCACGCTACTTCTCGTTGTGTCCATCGCTTCAATCTTCTCGACCTATCATTAAGTTGTATTTTTAACCGACTTCAAAAAAAGAGGAGGTTCTGGAATTCGACTGTAGTTTTTTTCATATAAAAGAGTTTTGGGGTGAAAGATGACTCACAGATAACTATTCTTATCTAGATTGTTGTGTCCATGAATGCCCAAACAGTTGCTTTTTTAAATTCCCTCGCAAATTTCCAAAACGCAACGCTATTGGTGGAACGAAACGTGACGTCATTTATACTTGACGTCTTCTGTCAACAATTTGTTGGTATGGTTTCTGGTGATTATTTGTATTCTAATGAGGTAGATGTTTTCATTCATATGTAATACTCTTATACATAAATAACTATTAAATATTGTAGCAGGGGAGCCTTAGAAAGGTGGTATCCGAGGGGATTTCCGCACGAAAAAAAAAAAAAAAAAAGGGGAGCCTTAGAAGGGATTTCGGGATTTACTCGAGCGTGTCAGATTAACATAGGAGAAATACCTTACACTCAGTTGAGTTCTCCACCAAACATGAGCCCTACATATAAGGGGGATCGTCTAGGGCAGTCCAGATTAGTTAAAAAAAATCAATGGCCAAAAATACTCGAGCATGTAAGATTAAAGTAAGTTGAGTCAATTACATGCATATTAGTGTGTATTTAAAAAAATCGGACGATTTGAGCGTGACATAAAGCAGTGGGAGTGTCACAAAGTGCCAAAAAATCCATTACCTGGCCACTCGATGGCATCTCAATAGCGTGTCAGTGGTATGACAGTGGCTAGGCGTGAACATAAAATTGCAGAATTGAGGCCCTGCTCGTTTGCCCCTTTATACGATAATAGCCATTAGTGTCCCACTTGACCCAGCAATGCGGCGAGAAGTTCAATCGTGACTTTAACGTGTTTTGACGTGTTTATCTAGTAGAAGGGGGCTTTCGTGTGCTTTGAAAATTCATGACTAATTATTCTCGTTTTGTATACAATTCATTAAAGTTTCGCGTTTAACAGCTGCAGTACCAATATCACTATTTTTGCTCAGTGATCGAAATATAATCATAAACAGTAGATAATTATTGTCTGTCAAATGAGAGATTGGAAAAAATCGTCGACATTTTTTCTAGCTGCAATGTTTTACGTAACGTAACAAAATAGCTTTAAACACGTTTTACCGTGGATAATTAACACGATTCATAAGTCAGTTTATCATACAACTTAAGTTTATAATATAGATATTGTAGGTAAGTTTATAATTTTGTATGTATTAGATCAGTATACAAATGGCGGAAACTTTGCGGGATTTGCACAACAAAAAGGCAGTCAAATCGAACCCCTAATGAAGTCAAGGATACAATGTGGGCGTATATGGGCCAGACTCGACCAGTGACCTCACGGTGACCACGGCCTCACAGAAGTTGTTTGTTAACCGATGATTTTCGAGCGAGTGAAGTTAACAGAGGCCAAAATCGGTTAATATATGACGGAGTTACGAAGTAACAAATATTAAAAAAATACACCCGAATTGAGAACGTCCTTCTTTTTTTGGATTTGTTTAAAAATATTAGTAAATGTGGAATCTTTCACTTTGGTTTTGTTACATCGGTGAAGAAACTAAATAGAGGGCCTAGTGTGAACGCCGAACGCACTCGCCGTCGACAGCGAGTTGATGTAAAATAAACTCACACTCGACCCTCAGATAGGGAGAAAAGTATAAGGGCACTTACCTTGCCGCGTGCAGCAGGTACATGTAGCTGTCGGTCGCCTGAAGCTTTCTGCACAGGCTTCTCTTGGAGGGGTAACGCCAACTCTTCTTTCAGCGTGGTCTTTGGTGAAGTTATTTTCTTTTGTGGTGTCTGCCCTGCGGTGCGTATGTATTGCTGTAACATGAAGAAAGACAGGTGAGTTTGTTAAAATAATGTTTTGTCTATAAGTAAATTTACTCACTATGATAAATTAACTATTGATTATTGATTGATTTTTAAAGACATCGCCCGCATTAGGAATATATCCTGTATCGCGGGGGCTTTACAAACATACATGAAACGGACACAAAGACCGCCCTGACTCAGAACAACAATTTGTGGATCCCGCAACGTGTGGTCCCATGTAGGGATCGGACTCACAACACTCAGCGTAGTAGTAAACAGCGTGGTGACCGCTTAAACCACTACGCAATCTATCTAATTCAAGGATGGATTTAATGGGGAGAGTCATTGCGATCATAACCTCTGAATTAATAGTTGAACCTGCCTCTGGACTATGCAGTTCAGAAACGTGGATTCGCGAGTTACTTGTAAACCTCATTTGTTTTATTTCACATATTGAGGCACCAAGCTTCCTATTCTTTGTGTTAAACTTTAAAAGAATAAGAAAAATATGAAATGCTTTTATTATGTAAGTATTATTTCATTATTCAGGAGAAGGTAATGCTATGCGCCTTATATAGCATTACTTGGCATTGCTTAGCATATAAATAGACTATTGATTTGAATAATTTATTTTAAACGAGAGTTGTTTTTTATGTTGATAAAAAGACAACTCCCGCATGAGGATTATATTCTGAGTCGCGGGGGACTTTACAAACACACATGAAACGAACACCCAGACTCGGAACAACAATTGGTAGATCACACAAAGTGTCGTCCCATGTGGGGATCGGACCCACAACACTCAGCGTAGTAGTGAGCGGTGTGGCGACCGCTTAAACCCTCCTTAGAAAAGTCCTTTGACATTCAAGAATAAAAATAGTTTGTATAACAAACATACTACTACATATAGTTTTCGTGGTATGAATCTCGATGATCTTCGCAGAGATGCCGACGGCATTGATTGGAGTATGCTGTTCAAGTCGCAATGCATTTATGAAAAGGTTTCCTATTTCTCAAAAGAGTTAATTGCTTTATATGACAAACATGCACCCATTCGTTTAATTAAGGTAAGGCATCTACCAGCTCCTTGGTTAACTGACGAAATCAAGGAATTACAGCGAAGGAAACAGAAGGCACACTCTAAGTACAAGCGTCACCCTAGTCCCTAAAATTGGGATAACTTTGTCCATATCAGAAATCACTGCAATAAGGTGTGTAGGAATGCTCAACGCCGGCACATTCATAAATCTATTGAAAACGGTGATCCAGTTAAAGTCTGGAAATTTCTTAAGACATTGGGGGTCGGCAAATTACGCTCAAATTCTGCTTCAAAAAATGTTGATATCAATTACTTAAATACATATTTTTCTGCGTCCTCTAATTTTGGGGGAACTACTAAAACTACTGCGCTAAACTATCTTTCATCTCTGCCGACTCCTAACTGTCCTTCGTTTGTTTTCAGTCCAATTTTCTGCTTGTGATGTCAAGAAGAGCCTAGTATCTATAAGTATCTATATTCCAACGCATATAGTATCTATATTCCAACGCAGTAGGAACAGACAACATCAGCCGTAATATGGTACTTCCTATCCTAGACGAAATCCTGCCTGTGATTTGCCATATTCTTAATTATTCCGTATCCAACAGTGTTTTTCCATCAGCGTGGAAGATCGCTCAAATCACTCCTCTCCCTAAAAAATGTAATCCTTCTGCTCTCTCGGACTATCGTCCAATATCTATTCTTCCCTTTTTCTCTAAAGTACTTGAACGTCTTATCCACACGCAACTAAGCTCATTTCTTTCTACAAATTGTCTCCTAAATACTTTTCAATCGGGTTTTCGTCCTGGCCACAGTACAACCACAGCTCTCCTTCATATTACGGAGGATATCAGGTCCAATATGGAGGAAGGAAAGTTGACGGTCCTTGCTCTGCTTGATTTCAGTAACGCTTTCAACACCGTTGACTTTGATGTCTTGCTCAGAATACTGCGCTCTCTTAACATATCTCCATCAGTAATTGACTGGCTTTATAGCTACCTGTACGGTCGTCAGCAGCGTGCTTGTATTGAAAATAATTATTCCTCCTGGTGCACTACTTCTGCGGGCGTACCTCAGGGCGGCGTGCTGTCCCCATTACTCTTCGCAGTTTTTATCAACTCCATCACTGATCGATTAATTTCTTCCTACCACCTTTATGCTGATGATCTCCAAATATACACACAAGCTTGTCCGTCTAAAATATCCGAAGCTATCAGTACTAGCAACAAAGATTTGACACATATATGTAATTGGAGTAATCATTATAGGCTAAGAGTAAATCGATCGATCTAGTATTCCATACAGTGAAACTGTGAAGAACTTGGGGATCTGTATGGACAAGTTCTTGTCCTGGGCTCCTCAAATTGGGGAGGTTAGTCGAAAATTATTTGCTGCAGCGGGGTCATTGCGAAGACTTCGTAACTTTCTTCCCACCGACACCAAAATCGCCCTAGCACAATCTCTTCTCCTTCCTATACTTGACTATGGTGATGTTAGCTATCTAGATCTCACCGAAGACCAATTGAACAAACTTGAGCGTCTCCAAAATGTCTGCATAAGATTCATATTCGGTCTACGCAAATATGATCACATCTCCGAGTATCGTGTTAAGCTCAAATGGTTACCTATACGCCTTCGCCGGATTGTTCATATCCTCTCTATTTTATACGGTATTCTTTTCTTACCGCATTCACCATCCTATCTCAAAGAACGTTTTGAGTTCTTACCCAATTCACATTGCAGGCTCCTGAGATCATCGGAGAATCTGAAGTTGAAAATGCCCAAGCACACCACACAATTTAGGGATAAATCGTTCTCGTTTAAAAAACAGGTCACAACTTACTACTTGACATTGTAAGGGCTGTTGAAGGGATACCGATTGTTGCTGATGCTTGGTATGTCATAGGTTAGAAAAGATTGGTATTAACGTTTGTAACCTTTGTATGTATTTATTATTTATGTTGATATATGTATGTATTAGTATGTATATTGTGAGCGTATTTAGTAGGTATGTTTATTTTTATATATTTTAATACTACTTATAAAGTACACCACAGACTACCCTAAATCATATTTGGCAATATCCGTATAAAGGTTGTCTGTAAGAGATCGCCGTGTGCGATAAGACCGCCTATTGTAATACCACATGTAGATGTCCATCCATGTCTGTACAATATATACTGTAGCGGTGTTCAATAAAGATGTATAAATAAATAAATAAATATAGCTACTAGGATTTAGAGGCGGGGCAGCTCGTGCTCGCGCTGACCTCGGGCACCTTCCACACGATGATGCTGCCGGCGGAGCAGCTGCTGACGATGTGGCGCGCGTCGGGGCTGAAGCGCGTGCACGTCACCGCGCCCGCGTGCCCCAGGCCCATGTGCGTGTAGATGCCCTCCTGGTACTTCCACAGCTACACATAACGACAATACAACAGTCATACACAATACAACACAATAAGGTATTTGACACCTTAGTCAGTTTAGTTACTTTTTGTCATCTGTCAAAATGTCAATTTTCTATGAAAAATGTACTAAATGGCATCTTATGACGTCATTAATTTAGACTACTCAATTGAAGATTATATTTCAATGTAAATAAACAACCACCATTTAAATTCGTAATAGTTACAAAAAGCGAAAGTTATTATATTTTCCGATATTTATTTTAATGAAGCGGACATTTTTATTTATATAGGTACGATACAGTGAGCTACCCTATCAGATATTGTCAACAACCAATATCTATACACCTATACACATTTTTATTTATATGTATAAGATACAGTCAACTACCCTATTAGATATTATCAACAATCAATATCTATACAAATAAATAAAATTGAAGTGTCTGTTTGTAATGTCAAATAATAGGTTTTTTTTCATGCTCACGCGGTTATTTGCGCGATACCTACCTATGCCTAAAAATCAGTTTAAATATTTTTTGTCTGTCTGTCTGTTTGTTCCGGGTAATCTTCAAAACTGCTGGAACGATTTTGATAATATTTTACCGAGTAGCTGTCTATATAAGGAGTAACTTAAGCTACTTTTTTCTCTCAGAAAAACCCTATAAAATGGTCCGGGAATCGAACTCGCTATAGAATATTAATAAAATTCTGGAATATATGTAAAACACAGTACTATCTAGACCCACCTAAGCAGAGTTTATAATTAGTTCTAAAATTAGTGTGCAAAAAACACAAATCAATACGTAAATCACTTACTTTAACCATTTGATCATTCCCACCGGTGACAAACAGTTCACCGTTTTGTGTGATATGTAGTCCGTTGATAGCGCCCACTTTGCTCGCTTCCAACTGCAACAATAACAAAGATTAGAAGGGTTCAATCAAACTTTCCGGCAACAGTTGATATGTAGAAGCTATATCCCTTTCCTAATTTTGCATTTCTCTTTTACCTGTCATTTAATAAAAAGTTATTAAACTACTAATTTTCTCATCTTAAAATACCCATCATCATCATCATCATCAATCATCTGTCTATCACACTATGACGTTTTCCTTTGATGAGACAATTGACTGTTTCATCCCAGTAGACCCATGGGACATCATTCCTGTCCCTATTTATCGGAAGGGTGCTTTAAAAACTAGTTACTTCCATATAGCTACTGGCCAATTCCACCATCTTTCTTTTTAAGAGCTTAATAATTATATATAAATAACAATGAGATGTAGGTCAGCATCGTCAACAGCCTTTAACAGTCCAATGCTGGACATAAGCCTCTCCTTAGAAAGGAGGTTTTGGCCTACTATACCACGCAAACCAGGCGGGTTGGTATAGGGTTTGTTTCAAGTTTCCTTTCTCTTTGCAGTGCTGTTCTCCTGCGTAGTTTGCTCACTTACGACATCCATGGGATGAATAGGGGGTGGTGACACTTCGTATTCTTAATCCATCACCATACGGATTAAACACCGAATCCACTAAAACATGCTTAAGACAAAATAATCGTGCTCATCACGCCATTATTTGTAGGCAATATATTGTAGTTAAAATTCAATCAATAACATTAAAAAACTAATATTAGAATATTGGTAGTTTCTAACTCACGAATACATTTTAGCTTAAAACTAAGTATTTGTTTATACTTGCCTCCCTGGCGAGGTTCCCGCTGCCTGTCTCCCAGTAAGCGATGCGTCTGTCCGTACCGCCCGTCAACAGCTGACAACCTTGGGGCTCGAAGCAAATACACATGAACAGTGTGTTTGCATACATTACTTGACGGCGAGAGAGCGAACTGAAAACCCAAATATACAAATCAGTGCCGTGGGAGAGCCATGCCTCAGCACGTATGGACAACACAGAGAGGAGTGATACCTTTTACCGTTACTTTTCACCGTATGAATAACGTTACCGGAGACCAAACCTCTTCCTCTGATCCTGACAGAAAGGGCGGCACCAGACTTATCACACTGAGTTGCAGATGACTATGGGTAGGGGTAGTCACTTGCCACTAGGTTACTCATCTACACGTTTGCCCCATATCCGCCCCATTCTTCCCGAATGAGCAATATACTTCCAATTTTAATCTCCCCTGGAGTAAGTTTACCGGAGCCGCAAGCCCTCCCTCTTTATTTTCGGGGAGAAGGGGAGGGGACCTACAGGGCTGATTTGTCCACTATGCTATCAAACCGATACCAGTAAAAAGTAGTAAAAAGTAGGTCGTAGAACATCTGTTGGCTAGTAAAAGAAGCATAAAAAAAAACAGGTCCATCCTTCGTATAAAATGTAGATCTAGGAAAATTCTTACTCACAAGCAAAATTTATTTTTTATTCTATAGGTTCTTACATAAGGTCCCATATTATAGCGGAACCGTCGGTACCAGCGCTTACAGCCTCCATATTGTTGGGTGATACTTGTATAGCGGACACGGGACTCTTGTGTTCTTTCAGCACTTTCTTCAAACTTTGACATTCTGGCCGAATATCCCACACTCGCACCTGGTCACCAGAGGTTTAAAAATAAGTATTTTTTTTTACAAAAAATATAGCAAGTGAATGTTTCAACACATACGAAATGGCGTGAAGTCATCTAAGGACTTCTCATACCGGCCACCTGGGCTTCACCTAATCCACTCTCGTCCCCAAAATTCTAAATGCAAAAAATTCTGGTGGAAAATAAACTTTTACTTGGCATTTTGCCTTTTAAGAGGCGATGAGCGCCTAACCATTAATGATTTATTAAAATACCTAGGTAATACCTATAGACAAAAGATTTTATTATTTAATAACTGATTTAAAGAAACACCAATGGTGTAGATAGTTTACTTCATGTTAGAAAATTAGAGGTCAATTATGGAGTTTTAAAAAATTGCTTTTTAATACTTACTTATTTAACTTTTAGCTAAAATACATTTTATGTAAAAGGGCGATGAAAGACAATCTCGCTATATCCTGACCAATGACTAGAACCGACTGAGCGATAAATATACCTAGCTTAATCAATAAATAAATAGCAGACGTGTCTTTACTGATTACAAAACACTGCGGAGCACAAAAGCACTGAAAAACTCACGTGACGTGCTAACTTTTGTAAAGTATAAACATGGATTGGACCTGTCCTCACCTGTCCCTCGCAGCCACCCGAAATGAGAGTTCTGCTGTCAGTAGTCATGGCGAGCGCCGAGGTACCCTTGTTATGAGTATTGTAAATGCAATAGATTAGGCGGCCAGTTAAAGGAGTAAAGGCGCGAATGTTCCCGTCGTTCCAACCTATGGAGTTGGTTAGGAATTAAAATCATATGATCCGGGGTGAGCTTTGCCCCAGCACAATAAAGTCGAAAATGGTCATTTAAATGTTATAGATAATTAGTTGCCCCGCTGCTGTAATTGTTGTGTACATTTTTAAAAACGATAACATTATTTTGCTGGGGTAATGCACACTGATCCGAGCCCTCCCCAGTACCGTCTTTACCATAAGGGCACACGGGGCCCGTGCCCAGGGCCTCCATCGTCAAGGGGCCTCCAAAAAGCAAATACATAGCACGTTAAATATTCGCTTACCTCATTTTTTTTTCAAATTCATATCGATATTATCCGAAAAAAAAGTAAATGGACCTTTTTAGCAACTCTAAGCACTGACAAGCCAATGATCAGTAACGGCCTCAGCCATTGCGAGGCCCCGGGCCCCGGGAAATAGTTTTCATGATCATACATTAAAAAAAAATTTGCATCGCAACACATACTGCTGCTCGCACATAAAAGCATAAGCCGACGACAGTTTCTACAATGTTACAGGCGAAATTAAACACGGGGAATCCCTGAACGTAAATCGTAAACACCTTAATATTTAAGTACCACGCAAAAGAGCGCGAGAAGTGTGACGTGAGTTTTAGAATGCGATGCGTAAAGCGCGAAATTCAAATAAACATATTTTTCTACTGGGGTCGCGAGTGCGCGAAGCCCCTGCATTAGCGAGGCCCCGGGGTCTGCGCCCCCAAAGGCCGCCTCTGCCAATGATATTACCAAATGTGTCAGAAAATGTGGCATTGCCATAACGTATCCGTAAAAACGCATCCAATAAGAGTGGCGCTGCGGTAGCCAAGGATAAATTTGAAGTGCATCATTTCATTTAACTAGATATTTGTCTAAGAATATTTTTACCCGTAAATTCACGAATGGCGAGTCGTTAGAAAGAAAATGGCTCCTTTATTCACCTTTGAGAAAATCTGTGTACTGTTACTGCTGCCGTCTATTTAATACTAGTACAGGTACTGGATGTACTTTGAGTTCTCCAAATGGATATAAAGATTGGAAGCATATAAGTAACTTATTAATTGAGCATGAGAATAGTTTACACTGCAGGCAATTAATGATGAATTATGTCGCAAGAAGCAAATCTACTGGACGACATGACAGTGAGTTACTATCCCAATATAATGCAGAAGTCAATTATTGGAAGAATGTACTTAGAAGCATAGTTGCAGTAGTGAAATTTTTGGCTTCTAGAGGTCTTGCTTTTCGTGGTAATAATGAGATTTTGGGGTCTCAAAACAATGGAAATTATTTAGGATGCTTAGAACTGATTGGTGAATTTGATTCTTTTCTTGCTGATCATATGCGGAACTGCGGAAATCGTGGGAAAGGAAGTACATCATATTTGTCTGCAAATATTTGTAATGAATTTATCAATATAATGGGACAGCAAGTTTTAAGAACAATTGTGAGTGAAATAAAATCAGCAAAATACTACTCTATAAGCGTGGATTCTACGCCAGATCTCTCTCACGTTGACCAACTAACTTTCATCGTTAGATATGTAAAAGATGGAGAGCCTCTTGAGAGATTTATACAGTTCTTGCCTCTTGCCTATAGATAAACATAATGCAGAATACTTAGCAGGTAACATTTTGAACTTCTTGGAAAGCCTTGATATTCCTATAAAAGATTGTCGTGAACAGAGTTATGATAATGCATCAAATTTGACTGGAAAGTATTCTGGTGTTCAGTCAAAAATAAAAGAAAAATGCAAATTTGCCATTTTTGTCCCATGTGCAGCACACTCGCTAAATTTAGTAGGTATTCAAGCTATTGATTGTGTTTCCGAAGCTGCAGCATATTTTCAGTTTATACAAAAATTGTTCAATTTCTTCTCCGCTTCGACCAAACGATGGAAAATTATGGTAGAGCAATTAGGCACAAATAAAGTCTTGAAGTCTGGGCCGGATACTAGATGGTCTGCACGTGCAAATGCCATTAATGCTTTACAAAATGGTTACTTAAATATTTCTGAAGCTTTGTCCTCGATAGTAAGTGATGTCAATCAACCAGGACAAACAAGAAACGAAGCGCAAAGCCTAGTAAAAAAAAAATGGAAAAATTGAACACAAACTTTTAACGGAAATATGGAATGATTTTTTGGGAATTTTTGACAGGAATAGAATTCGCAGCACACGCGTTACTTTCTTTGAAGGATCATCAGAGACTGTGCTGTTGCATGGGAAGGAAAAATTTCGTATAGATACATTTATCCTTTAATAGATACATTATATGCACATTTAAAAAATCGTTTGGTAGCGTATCAAGAAATTCACGATCGTTTTAGTTTTCTTTCATAATTAACAACAATTGATTCTGACGAGTTAACAAAAAAATGCAATGAATTTAAAGAATTCTATCACGAAGACATTAATGCATATGAGCTTAAATCAGAGTGTTTTCATTTAAGACAGTATTTAAAGAATATATCAAAGGAATCAGCTGATTTGAGTATCTCAAACTTACATAATTTAATAAAGTCCGACAGATTAGAAGAAACTTTTCTAAATGTTGAAGTGGCTACAAGAATGTTTCTATGCCTAATGGTTACCAATTGAAGCGGAGAGCGCTCATTTTCAAAGTTAAAGCGAATAAAAAATGAATTACGAACATCAAAGTCAAAAGAGCGACTAACGTATTTATCAATTATGTGTATAGAAAATGATATCCTCAAAAAAAAAAATACTTTGAAGATATAATAGAAGAATTTGCACAACAGAAATCCTGAAAAAAATTACTGTCGTAATTGTACCTAACTGATTCAAACCATCAATTCAAAGATGCTTGTCTAATTAACATCCCATATTTATATCTATTATACTTACTCGTAAATGTATCTATCTACTTAATATCTCTAATTATAGGTATATTTGATTGTTGCCAATAAATCATTTTAAGTAAAAGATCATAACTAAAAATATTTTCACCATTCATTTTGTTAACTGTCCAACAGGGCCCCTAATTCTTGTGTGCCCAGGGGCCTCGGCGTGGCCTAAGACGGCCTTGGCCCTCCCTAGAGTAGAACCCCTAAGGCCGGCCGTCAGGGTTGTTTAGTGGAAACACCACATATTTTTGGCTTCTGCATTACCGCGATAGCTGTCCTGGAGAGCCGGAGGGATTTCCCAAAGCGTCTCCAAAAAAAAGGCAGAGCGAAACATATTATTTTACTAGCTGAGACCCGCAGTGTTACCCGCGTTTGTTTTTATAACCGCGGGCAACGACGCGGGGCAAAGCTAGTCTAAAAAAAGTAGCCAAAGTTACTCCTTATGTCATCAGCTATCTGCCAGTGAAAGTCCCGTCGAAATCGGTCCAGCCGTTCCAGAGATTACCCGGAACAAACAGACAGACAGACAAAAATTGAAAAAAATGTTATTTTGGCATATGTACCGGGTAAACATACGAGTACATATGCATTTAGTAAAAAGCGGTTATTTTAATATTACAAACAGACACTCCAATTTTATTTATTTGTATAGATTAGCGCTGACAATTTACGAGCACATTTCTACTGCCAGTCATATGATGTTACTGGTGTGTTGCTAATCAAGGACATTTACTTAGTTTTATTTATTTATTTATTTAACTTAATGCACTAGTTGTACAAAGGCGGACTTAATGCCCAAGGCATTCTCTGCCAGTTAGTTTTGTTTTCGTTTATCCTGCAACTAAAGTTTTAATTAATTGTGTTAAATGTAGGGCCTTGAAACAGCAGCAGTTCCTGCCCTTTCTTTATTAATAGATGTAATGAAGCAAAGCGTGTGGTGTGTTGCTAGTTGTTTTAGTTATTAAATTTAGTCGGCGTACTTCTGACTGTCAAAAGGAAAACCACAGTGGTGGTGAAGTCACTGAATGGGCTTCCACACTTTCCAACACATAAGGCTCGATAGTGTCCTGTTGATATTTAAAATTGCAATCTATGAGCAATGTGGGTAACAGATATTCTATGTGAACTCACCGGTAACTATAGACTTGCCATCAGCAGAGAACAGAACGGAAGAACATGTGAAATTAGGCACCGCTATACGCAGTAGTTCCTGGCAAGTCTCCAGGCACCACACGCGCACGTCACCGGCTCCTGCAGTAGCGAATACTCCTGACATACCGCTAAAATAATAATTAAATATGGAAAATTGAAAAATATTAGATCTCATAAATATTTTTTTAAGGCACCAAGACAAACTGCAATAGTTACAAATAGACGCCAGACATTGCGTCAGGATCTCGTTATGAGTAATAAATGGCAAGTCAAAAATATTCCTTATTTTAATGCCAGAGAGCTCGAACTTCTCATTAAAAGTTCTCTTCGTACCCATAGAGCAACACAGGCCGACGGCGGACCGGAGGGGAGGAGCCATAACGTCTTTTCGCGATACAAAATAGTCTTGCTGGGGGGAATCTTCACCACGCACACATTCTCGGACTCCCATACAAAAACAATTAGCTGTCACTACGGAACTCACACATAATGCATGTGTTGGTCAAATAACCTAAAATACCCGGATGGTGGCAACATGCTTCTCCCTGTTCCTGTTTCGCACGTAAGCCGGATCGTACTATAGTCTTTTTGTGTTGAGCGTAATCGTGGAAATTTATTGATATTCTCGAATCTCTAGCTCGTTGAAAGGTGCTGTATAGAACGAAATCGCTGCATCTAATACTAATCTGTATACAGATATTCCTTAAAAGTAAGAGTAAATAAATCTTACTGAGGGAAAGCAATATCATTGATGGCACACCGATGACAGGTCACAACTAATATGGGGAAGAAGGTGGCCACGTTAATGGCGTATATCTCACTAGTTCTCGTTCCAACCAGAAGCATGCGATTTTTGCCTTGCTGCGCTGCGGACTCCATCAGCTCCAGAGACGTGATAGCACCATCCAATTTTGTAGATTTCAACTGGAGTTAATAATTTAAGTCAGTTAAAACAGGTTTATATTAATTGAAAGAGAAGAGGATAAACCTAGAGATAAATCAAGAAGATATGCTGCCATCTACACAAGTGATGCCGAACTTATGAGTTAAGAGTTAAGATCTTGTATCACATAATAAATTAAAACAATTTTTTATAAAAGTTAACTTACAGCTTTATAGTTGGGTTGATTTGGAGATAGTAATTTGCCTTTAGGGAAGGAGCCCTTCCAGTTAATCTCGTCCAGAATATCAATGGTGCCGTCACCCCCGCCCACGATCAAACAACCATCATCCATTATTATTATCGTTTCTATTCCTGTAATGTCAATGGCACAATGTTAGTCCCGAAATAAGGAGCCTAGGGAGGCTTGAACGTGCAGGAACTGACAACTTACCGACTCTAGGATAGTTTAACTGAGTATGATAAAGTAAGTTATCCTCTATCTAAATACCAATATAATTTATCGATAAAATAGACTTAATAGGCAACCAAAGCCACCAACCCCTCCACAGTGTCCTGTCACAAGCATATATGGTTTCAGAGTTAAATTTATGGGATTCCCCCTTTCCTGGTGGGACCTGTGCACCTATGTATTTTTTATGGTACAGATTCTTAATATCCATAATCGACCCAATTTCTTTAAATTTTTTGACCACTCTTCGAATGGTTGACACAGTAGTTGCACTTTCTTTACGGAAAATTTGTCGAAGTTTTTGAGGGGTTTCAGCATTGATATAATACTTACATAGATGAGTAATTACCGCCTAAAATCGTTGCTACTGCACATCTGCCCACAGGCATATGCGTAGCAAACGTCAATTCAGTATTCAATGTGGCGTCAACCGAGTTGAACATAGCGACACATGACAGTAACAATCGCCAAAATGGCTAAATGCGTAGTGAAAGAATGCGATTCAAGGTCACAAAACATTAATAAATCATGCGGAATTACTTTTCACGTGTAAGTTTATGGTTTTTGTATTGATAATATCGTAAATAAGGCTATAATTGAAATAAAACACTGATAATTGTAATTTAGAATCAGTGTTACCATTAAAAAATCATTTTGGTTTTCCCACATTAGTGGGAGAATTTATAATTTATGAAATAATATGCTTTATACTGTTTTTAAACATTTTGCCAATAATAATAAAATATAGGAAGAACGGTAGTTGTTAGGGCTGGACCGATCACTTTTTTTAGGGACCCGTTGAACGTTCACTGCGAGCTTGGCAGAAGTGCCAAGCTAGCAGTGCTGGAGACTTTTGTACAAAAGAATTAATTCATTGTTTTTCTTAATTTATTATCAATTTTAAATAATAATTGTACAAAATAATAATAATAATAAAAAATGTTTAACATAAAAATAAAAAATAAAAATATAAAATAAAAAAGTAAATAAACATAAATATTTTTTTTATAAAATGTTGTTTTTTAAATTATAATAGAATTTGCAATACACCCTGGGGATTATTTATTATCAGTACAAGTTAATCATTCACTTTTATTATTAAATGCTATTATTTTTACATATGTAAAAATAAGATTGTATCATGAAAGTAAAATATCCACACAAACTTATAAAAAAGAGTCTAAAAGACAATTGTATACAAAACTGATGCTTCACAGCGCAGTTTGATTTTACACTGAATATAAACCCTTTTAACCAAATATTTCCAGTTATTTTATTATTTATACCTATTCTATTTAATTCGAAATATATTATTTAGAATATTTAAATTAATTTATTTTATTACAAAATTGTTTTAAAAAAAAATTGTTTCTTAGTTGTTATGGGTAAAATTTCATACGGTAGTCAACACTGGCCCACCATCGTAAAGTTATATCTTTGTCTTTGTCTAATCAGAGCGATGGTATTGTTCTTGTCTCGCGTGTAAATGAGACATAAATATGTTTACTTTCAAATGTTTAGTGGTATCAAAGCTACGTCGTCAAAGTTCAAAAGTGGTTACACTTTTTTCGACGTGTGATAATGAGGTTTGCTTCTCTAGTGTTGTTTTAACTCAATGGGTTTCAGTGTAATTTTCCCCATTATTGAAGTATTTATACGTTTCGTTTAGCCAGTATTTCCAAGTTCTTTATTTCGTTTTTTTTTAAAGGCTTACTAGCAACTAGCAACCGTTAAATTTCTTGTGTTAGGAGTGGGTTCACGTCGATAGTGTACTGGTCAGGATTCGAACCCTCGACATCTTGATCGCACGTCCAATAAATAAATAAATAATATTGTACCACATTCACACAACGCCATCTAGTCCCAAACTAAGCAGAGCTTGTACTATGGGTACTAGACAACTGATATAAATATATATATATATATACTTTTTTTTTGTAAATACATGACATACTTATTATACAAAGAAACACCCATTGAACACCCACCCATGAACATTAAATGTTCATGCACACAAATGTTTGACTTGAGCGGGAATCGAACCCGCGACCTTTGGAATAGCAGTCCGTTACACAAACCACTACGCCATTCGGTCGGCTACCGCCGCCTATTATTGTAATGAGCTTTTACTTATAACGCGTTGTTCTTTCGAAAAGCGCTCCATTTTTAATAATCAGAATAAACATAGGTGACATTTGTCAAATTTCAGAGTTGCCACTTGCACGAAAAAGATTTTTTCTAAATTCAAAATGTGCACTCTTACTGAGACACCCTTTAGTAGTATGCAAGCCATCTGCAGTACCCAGTGCTGTAGCAAAAGTTGTAACAAACCTTGTGAGTAACAGACCGATTCGGGTCTCTTGGTCTTCTTCCACGGGCCACACTTCGCAAAGCACCCTATCAGCGCTGGTTTGTAGGGCGCAACTGACGCCTGCGGGTCCGACGGGTAGTTGATTGAGAACTTTATCATATCACCCGTTCTGAATACAAGGGAAATTGTTATAATCTCTATACCAATATTTTCATTATTAACGTTACGAAACCTACGCTAGATAACTGACATAATCACTTTCTTACTTAAACAAATTAGATGATTTGGCTAGCTAAGGTTGCTTGACTTATTAGTTACTTAAAACATTGACATAATTCATGAAACAACCGTATAACTAAAAATAAGTTAAAGTATGAAATTGCCGTTGTATAAAAGATACTTTGAATTGACATAAATCCTTCATGGTGAGAGATTTTCGTGTGAAACTTTTTTCACATGATACCTATGAGGTTCTACTTTAGAAAAATGTCCAAATTCGATTTTCGACTTTCAATTTTTTTTTATTCAGCTTAGCCGTGAAAGATGGGTACTTCGAAAATCCGAGTCATTTTTTAATACGAGTTGCGACGCGGAACTAACGTGGCAGTAATGGCTAGCAATATGAACGCAACGTGCGTTTTTGGTATAAACGCTTTCATAATAGAAACTTCGACTTGAAGAACAAACAACGTGGACGACCGCCCACAGGTGAATAACGCTGAATTGAAGGAGATCATTTAAACCGATCCGAGTCAAACTTTTAACCCCTAATATTAACTTATATTTAAGAACAGTTTTCACATAGAAAAAAATAATTAAATTGAATCTCTACCTCTCGAGAACAGTACCTTCCTTTTCAATAAAAGGAGCTCTTCCTGCATCTCATTTAATATTTTGCATGTTGATAGAGTAATTAAGTAAGTAAGTAAAAAATAATAAGCAAACACACATTCACGTTCAAAATATCAGTTACGATTTCATGTTAGTTATGGTGGGGGCAAGTAAAGTATTTCTTGAGGTTCAAGTGACCATTGGCGCAGGTACGCACCATCAGGTGATCCGTCTGCTCATTTCCCCACCATTTACCATAAATGGTCAATGTAATCGAATTTCCCATAAAGGTTAAATCGAGGATCGGTATAAACTGAAGGTCTAGACATGTACGGTCGTATGCTCACGTGGTTCCAGCAATGCCATAGGTGTCGTCTTTGGAGACAGCAATACAGCGGACGCAACGTCTGAGCTTTCCCAATGTGACATCCACCACGTCTAAGTTCTTGCTACCGGTACTGATATTCCACACTCGAAGGTTAGCTGGCATAAGAACAAAGATGTTTTAACTACTACAGAAATAAAAGTAGAAGTAACGAGTAAAAGCAGCGAGGAACCCTATAGAAATCATTTGTTTTTCTTGGAATACCACTGACGTGGTTAGAATAGTTAATTAAACGAATTAGTGACGTCATGAGCAAGCTCTGTCTTAAAGAAGATCAACTGAACAAATGATTCAGATAACAATACTTAGTAGAAGCTAGATGTGATCCAGCTCTATCCTGTCAGCTCAACAGATTACGGCAAAAAGGAAAATATTCAAACCGAAACAAACTTGAAACACCGTAAGTAATAGCTTGACCACTTCTTCACGAATTCCACTGAAAATTATTTAGACGAAGTCATCAACTACAGAATGCAATATTGCGTGCGGATCATCACCATCATTAAGCCCACCGTAGTCCACTGCTGGACATAGATCTCTCTGATGTCACACCTCGATCGATTTTCGGCTTCTCCCATCCAGATCCTGTCAGTCATCACCTGGTCTGTGGGCGTCTAACACTACGTTACACTACGCTACCTCGACGTATCATGCTTGGCGCTTTAGCATACAAATAAAGGATATGGGTACACCCATACTGAGGTTTAAAGATTGCGCCAAGGGGGACATGATCTCCTTTGAGATCGACCATATGGCTTGGGAAAAGATCGCTGGAGATCGCGACAACCGGTTAACGAAACGAAACTACCACAGGACAACATCTGGTTCCAGAAATTGGCAGAAAGGAGTGAAGCGTCAAAGAGCTGTCAAAGAGCTAACAACGACCCACAAACCGGTAGTTTTAGGTGCAGAGTATGTGAAACCTGTCGCCCTAGAATTGGCTTACATAGATATGAAACAAGGTGTATGACTTCGGGACAGTGGCTAAATCATCTGGAATAGACTGGACGCACTCGGCCGATTTTTAAGTGAATACTCACAATCACCACCAGTGACAAAGGAATTGCCCCTTTGTGACAGCGGGGCCAAAGTCATAGCGTCTCCCGTGGTTAATTTCGCAGCTGACATGGTACCAGTAGCTGAGCCAGTGACACAGTCCCATAGTACCACGCATCCATCGTCTCGTCCACCAAGGGATATCATGTAACGTTCATCCGATGTGAAAGTTAGAGCTTCTACGCGCACCTGAAAATTGCAAAACACTAACTGCACCAGATTCATGATGGTGGCAGGGCCGTGCTTCGGCGGGATTGGGTTCGCTGGATCGGTTCGATACCAGCGCCTCACAGAACATCTGTGTTAAGCAATTATTTTATTGAATTATGAATTTGACGACTGGATGGCAGAGGTTTGTGTAACGGACAGTTATTACAAAGGTCGTGGGTTCGATTCCCGCTCAAGTCAAACATTTGTGTGTATGAACATTTAATGTTTGATTTGGTCCAAGTGTTTCATACGTACTTCGTGTGTCGGTGTTTCATTCGTACATATATATAATATGTATGTATTTACAAAAAAAAACATAGTAGAAGCTCTGCTTAGTTTGAAACTAGATGGCGTTGTGTGAATGTGGAAAAAAAACATTTTATAGTTGCATTTCACCCAGTAAGGTCAAAGTTATTATGGCGGAGGCTCACAAACGCGGCCGTTAACACGCTTCTGACAATTGAGTTAATGGGCGGCGGTAGTCAATTACGGTAAAAAATGCATAGCTTCATCAAGTCTACACTTCCACTAGATATTTAAGGGATACATACATAAAAAAAAGATGCTGATTTTTTCCACAAACAATTTAATCCAACTTCGGTACCTTATGCAGTTCATGGCTGCCAACCATTGTCTTCTTCTTGAAGTCCCAAACTTTTGCCGATGCCTTAAACCCAATATGATTGATCTGCCCCGAACCTACGAAGGTACCCTTGGGCGACAAGGCTATCGTAGACACATTGTTGGTATGGCCACTGAGAAAGTACATTTTCTTTGATTTCCACTCTTGGATGCAAACCTTGTTGCCCATCGGGTATACAATGTGCTCGCTATCTGGGTGGACTTTCAAACCTTTGAGAGCTGATCCTGTATTTGTTTGGTAGACAAAGGAATTAGATTTATTATTTTTATAAATATTTCAGTCAAGATACGATATCTTGAATAAAATATTTGTGTGGCATAGTACATAGTTTACAAACATGTTTTACAAATATTTGCTGAGTGTTGTCTTACTTACAAGTTGCCACGGCATGGTAAGGGACAGTTACTTACTTCTAAGATTATACAAAACATTTCCATCATCATCAACAGCCTTTAATAGTCCACTGCTGGACATAAGCCTCTCCTTAGAAAGGTTTTGGTATATTTATAAACATATCCATAATAATATACAAAACATACAGAACATCATCGCAATTAATAAGAGACAGTGAGGCATTTAAGGGCTTCCGGCAAGCGCGTTTTATATCGGTAAGAAACCACACAAGTTTACTGTCTATCACACTACGACGTTTTCCTTTGATGAGACAACTGACACTGTTTCATCCCAGTAGACCCATGGGACATCATTCCTGACCCTATTCACCGGAAGGGTGCTCAAAACACTAGCTACTTCCATCAAGCTACTCGCTAATTCCACCATCTTTCTTTTTATGAGCTTAATAATTATATACAAATAGCAATGAGATGTACGACATGGCTAAAGGAAGAAGGTAGTATGACATGCTTAAAGGAAAAATAACCGCCCCAGTAGTCCAATGGTTTAATAGTAATGGAACTTCTGAGACTAAAATATTAGTTTCACTTGTCGCATGGGACTACTGGGATGAAACAGTGTCAGTTGTCCCATCATGAGACAACATCACGGGACTAGCTGTGAGATAGACAACGACTGCACGGATGGCGTAGTGGTTTAAGCAGTCGCCACGCCACTTATTCCTACGCTGAGTGTTGTGGGTTCGATCCCCACATGAGACAACACTTTGTGTGATCTACAAATTATTGTTCTGAGTCTGGGTGTTCTTTGTGTCCGTTTCATGTATCTTTGTAAAGTCCCCCTCGACACAGAAGATATTCCTAATGCGGGAGTTGTCTTTTTATAGATAGAACAGCAAATTTACTAATATACAGCAGTATTGGACTATGTTATAAAACAAATATGCTAGCTTTGCAATGTAAAGAGCCTGAAATATTGGGCAAGTGGAAGAAAAAGGGGAGAGTGAATGGCAAGTGGTGTTATACCGTGTCGTGCATAAGCTTGAACATCATCTAACAACTTTACAACACAAACTATTAAACAAGTTATAGGACACTCATGACCAAACATCTTTAGTAGTAAGACTTTCTAACAAAATAACAATAACTGAGATCGAAAAATGAGGTTAAAATCAACTGTAAGAAATGCATAGGCGTTTACAGGTACTCCTCCTTTTTTTTAAAGTCGGTTAAGCCTCTGGTCAATGTTCATGCTAGAAGCAATTATTATTACAATTTACACGTCTTTGGCGTATTCAACTTTTAAAAAGTTTGTTGTTTTGACTTAGTGGCCAACTTTCACATAGGTACTGTATTTTATTCTAAAAAAACTTACCATCGAATCCAATAATAGCGTACGATTCTAAATTTTTTACTTCACCCATTTTAGTGTGCTTTATAATTGTTTAAAGTAAGTTCTGATTGTTAATAAAATATTAAAATACTTAGATACAAAAATATATATTTCGTCAGTTCACAAGATTTGAATGTTTGATGAGGGTTGCTTGGCAACACATAAATAAAGTTGCCATGGCGCCAGCACCTGTTGACTGTAACTTTTTAATTAGTTAGTATGTATGAAGTTTGAATATACATTGTACATAAAATCGCTATATTTCTAACCAACTTGAAAAAAACAAAAGAAGAGGTTATCTATACGGCTGTTTTTATTTATGTTTTGTTCAGTTTGTTAGCGATATCTCAATTGTCAATTGCCTACCGATCCATGTTGGTATCCAAAATTAGTGTATGACGTGAGGTAATTGTGTATGTTTAAATGAAATTTGTGCGTCAAAAAACTACGAAGATATTCAAATTTCCGTTGCGACAACGTTTAGCCATTTCCTGGATTTTATATAAAACGCTTTTATAAATATAATAAGGTTATTAGGTTAGGTCCTAGTACTTAATTTTTCTAAGATATAATTATGATCTTCCTATCTATGCAATAAATTGCCCATTATGAATTTTGGCACTTGATTCTTTGTATGTATTTTTGTCATAAATATATTTATGTTAAGAATCGTACTGCATTAACAAAATCCGCTGGAAACAGTAGTTGCAGAAAAAGCAGGCGACCTAATCGATTGTGTAACCACCTGTACCAATTCAACACACATCAACAGCCTTTAATAGTCCACTGCTGGACATAGGCCTCTCCTTAGAAAGGAGGTTTTGGCCTACTATACCACGCTGGCCAGACGGGTTGGTATAGGGATTGTATCAAGTTTTCCTTCTTTTTGCAGTGCTGGTGTCCTGCGTTGTTTTACGCCCTTAGTCGCCTCTTACAACACCCACGGGATGAATTGGGGTAGTGACATTCCGTATTCTTAATCCGTCACTACCCGGACATTAGTACCAATTCAACACCGGTGTTATACTGTATATTTTAGACATTTTTTTTTTAAAAGGTCTACTAGCAACCGAAATTACAAGTATTCCCGTTAAGCTAAATAGCTTGTGTTAGGAGTGGGTTCACGTCGGTAGTTTACCGGTCAGGATTCGAACATACGACCCCTTCGAAGTCCAATGCCTTAACCACTAGGCTACCGCCGCTTTAGAATGTTACCTAACCATTTTTGAGGTTATGTAACCCTTCAAATGTTATTATGCCTAAAAAGTACACAGGGTATCTTAAAGTTCAAGTCTTTAGCTTACAAATAACGTTGAGTTTGCTCAAATATCATTTTTTAGGGTTCCGTACCTCAAAAGGTAAAAAAGGAACCCTTATAAGATCACTTTCTTGTCCGTCTGTCCGCACAAAAAAACCAGTCCTGGTAGATCAGGACCGGTTTTTTTTTATTTAACATTAAGAATTATAATTATACATTTAGGTCAGAGACAGAGACAGGAAGGTCGGAGACAGGAAATATTAGATTCAAAGTATTATAAGACTAAAGCTGTATACTGCAAGATAAATAATCTCTAAAAATCAGAAAGAACTAAAGTAGATGTTTAAAAGAAAGGTTCTACAATTAAAAAGAATTTAACAAAATCCCTTTAATAAGATTATATTTAAGTATCATCATCATCATCAACAGCCTATACTAGTCCACTGCTGGACATAGGCCTCTCCTTAGAAAGGAGGTATATTTAAGTATAAATTTTTTATAATATTCATGTCCTATAGGATTAAAAGTAAACTTACAAAATGCAGCTTCTTGTACTAAAAATAAAAGACTTATTTTTTGCCAGCATCTGTATAGTTCCAATCCAAAAACTACTCGATGTAACTGTGCAAATAAAATTATCTTCAAAAATATTTTTTAGGCCATATTCTGACCCGTAATTAAATATAGATCTGATTAAAAGCCCCCATGAGTGGTAAACCAGTTAGGCACTCTAAAGCCTGAGTTTCTTGAGGTTTCTTCTCAGTCATGTGATTAATAGAAGCCTCAGTAGAAGCACTAAACAAAAGAACAATCAAAACAGTCGGAAGACTTTAATGACCATAATATCATTTTTTATTAAGACAAAATTTGTTTATTGCTAGAAGAATAAGTTATAGGCTTGGAATTATCTTTAAGCAAGCTTTTAACTAGCTGACAATCTTTATTTTTCGTTTTAACTATTACCCAAAGTAATAAAAAAGTTGAATAAATTTTTAACACTTGGATTTTTGGATCTATCATATTATTTGAGTAGACATGCGTGACACAAATATGTGGCTACAATTTCTTTTTCTTTTAAAAGACAACTCCAGCACTAGGAATAAATCCTGTGACTTTACAAACATACATCATGAAACGGACACAAAGCACACCCAGACTCAGAACAACAATTTGTGGATCACACAAAGTTTCGGCCCATGTGGGGTTTGAACCCACAACAGTTGGAAGCAGAGTGGCAACCTCTTTAACCACTATACCATCCGTGCAGTCAAAATTGTCAATTGTATAGTATACCCTAAATTAAAATAAACCATAACTTGCTTCTTCTCTAATACACAGTTTAATACCTCTAGTATAGTTAAATAATAAAAAAATATTTCAAATAGGATTATTTCCGTCCCAGACATCTTCTGCGCACTGCTTTCGCCTTTTCATCGGTCAACTCCTTGGTTACTTCAGCTAAGCGTTTTGTCTCATTTGACATGTACTGTTTTAATATTGAGAGGAATTCCGACAACTGTAAAATAAAATTAAAGTACATAAATAAGTTAAAATTAACATGTTAATAAAGAAGTAATAAAAGCAAAAATACACTATCGTTATTTAATTGAAATCATAGTTCATATTTGGCGCGACATTATTGTTACTCTTACAATATACAAGTTCTAAATTTAAAAAATACAAAATGAACACATACTAGAAGTTCGTCTTCTTTTTTGCCTAACTGTACGAATGCACATTTGGCGGCATGGCTTTTATGTTCCGCCCAAGGGTCATCACTAGCCTCCCACCCATCCAATTCTTTACCACAAAGAAAACATTTCGCAGTATCGGCGTCGTCAATACCGGTTGCTATGGAATAAAATCCAGCTTCTGCCATATTGCGGACATTACAAGTGTTATTATCACTGAATGGCCAATTTTTGAAAGTCTTGACTCTTTCTTCAACTAAGAACAAATCACGAATCTCTAAATGTAGATTAACCATTGCTATTTATGATTAGGTCGCTTGCAAATATTAAATTAAGTATGATAATAAAGAGCTTAGACAGCACTGACAGCACTAAAAGCGGTTAGAAATTTAAAATAGCGATGGTGAAATGTCACAGAGTTGATACATCGATTGTACGAACAACTCGATTTTTACTCGTCATCGATTTTCACATCACACATTATCAACAATCCTTTAATAGCCAACTGCTTGATTCAGGCGTCTCCTTAGGAAGGAGGTTTTGGCCTGTGGCTGTTGTCCTGAGTAGTTTGCTACCTTAGTTGGCTTTTACGCCACCCACGGGATGAATAGGGGTGGCAACTGGTGATACTACGTATTCTTAATTCGTCTTAATTCGTAATACATGTTCAAATATTTAATAACAATGTGGCAAACACTAATAGGCTTACCTCTGATACTTTAAAAATGGATAAAACTCAAAATTAAAAACACTGAAAGAAAAAATCTCACACAGTATTAATACAGTTTTTTTTTTTTTACTATGACTGCACATTATAATAAATCACTAATATCAACGCTGCGTATTCAGAGAACACTGCTAATGGACGCAGCGTTAATTTTTGGTGAAAACGGTTTAGTAATCGAAACTTGGACTTGAAGAGCGAACCACGCGGAAGACACAGGAGAATAACGCTAATTTGAAGGAGATGATGGAAGCCGATCCGAATCAAACTACGTTCAATACCCCTACCTACAATACTGACTCATTTGCATCAAATCAATAAGTTAAAAAAAATGAAAAATGGGTGCCTCATGATTTGACTAATCTACATCTACGAAATGTTTAAGATAACGGTAAGCGAAATATGTAATGGCGGCCCGCAGGTCTAACGCCGCAACAGTGCCCTAAAGCAAAGCATACCAATAAAAAGGTGATGGTAACTGTTTGGTGTTCTCTTCATTGTGTTATTCACTATAGCATTCTCGGGTATGGTAAGACTGTAGATCTTTACTGTGCCAAACTTCTAACAATGATGGTGAAACTAGCAGTAAAACAGCCCCTACTCGTGAATCGATCTTCATCATTATTGCTCCATGATAACGTAAGACCTCACACTTCAAGAAAAACCATTGTAACTCTACAGGGGCAGCAGTTAGCAATTTCTTCCCAGGAGGCACTACAAAATGCTTTTAAACAGTATGTCGAATCTAGATCTCCAGAATTGTATCGTAAAGGCATAAATGAACTTCCGTTTAAATAGCAGCAATGTATAGATAATAAGGGTAAATTTTGATTAAATAAATATGTTACATCTTAAAAAAAACGAGTTTAAATTTTGCAGTACAAATCGGCAATTTCAAACTTCAACCCCTTATAAATACGTGTAACTTGTTCACTTGCTTACCTTTTCAACTTGAGTTTTTATCTACTATCAAATTCTTTCTTTAAGAAGCTGTATCAAGAATGACATTTTGATTTAATTTTCCCTAAAATGTCTGGCAACATTGTCCTAAAATTGTCAATGTCACAAATGTGTGGTTAAGAATCAAATGTCGGGCATGTCTGCTTATGAATGAATGCGGTGCTGTACAGTAGACGTTCATGCATGTGGAGAGTTTGTTTATAATATTCATGAGTTATTTTTCTAAATGAAATTGTAGTCGAGGTGACTTATACGTAGGAAAGATGAAGAGTAAACCTGTTAAACATAAGACTACGAATACTTTTCGTGTAAGTTATATTTTATTTGTTAATAGTAAAAGGTTAAGTGCGTTTTGAGAAACTTTATCTATATCTTAGTACCGGAGCGACTGAGCTCTGCATGGTGTTTTTTTTGATGGCAAAGTTGTGTTCCTCTAGGAAACATACCAGTATAGATAAACTTAAAGACAAAACCTTAGCTTCATACAAATCTTCAAACATAGGTTGTTTAAGTTCTCAGATTATTCTCTATATTACCTGTAAGTACGCTATTGTGACCCAGAAAACTAGGTTCAATGTAATAACGCTGGTCAACACTAGTCATGCCACACAAACTGATGGCTAATATTATTTTGCCACCAATCCTCATTAGTAAACAGCAATAGTTTTATTTCGATTGGCCTTAGATTTCTTGTGATGTGTTGATTCGTATAACAGTAGCAAATAATAAGTCTTTAAAATCAATTGTTTTCGTATTAGTTTAAATTTAGTGATTTATAAGTAATTATTGTGATTGTGTGATTATGCAGAGATGTATTAACAATCCTGACTCTTTGTTATCTTTGTGGAGAATTAACTTTTAAAATCCAAAGTTGAAATTGCACTAAAGTTGTGATGGAGTGTTATCGTCAGTATTTTTGGTATCCCTGTGGCTCAAATCTTGGAAAGACAAATCTTGGGCTCCCCATAGTTGGTTCATAACCTGTGTTATGAATTTGATTGATTGGAAGAAAGGGTCCCGTCATATACCCTTTGCTGCACCCATGATTTAGACCAAACCAAAAGATCATGCTTGTTATGTCGTGTGTGTTTCTGGTTTATATGTGATGTTAAGTAGTTGTCATAAATCCAAGCTTTATTACCTTACTTATTGGCTGTTGGTCTACCTTGTCAATGTCTTTTACGAAGTCATTGACTATTGTGTTAACAGATGGAGTACAACCTTTGTAGTCTATTTTTCTTCCAAGGAATTTAAAGGGCACAGTTTCTGATATTGTTGAAACACTTATTCCACCAATAGTAATCCTTGGGTCATATGAGGTATATCTGGTACCTCGCTGGCCCTGACAAAGGCAATAGCATTTACTAGGTTTTGTTCTCATTCCCTTTGTCCAGGTACAGAAGTCATCCACCTTACACAGTAGTTAGTTAGTTGGCACTTGTTCAGATTACGTGTGGGGATTGTGAGGTCATCTAAGATGGATTCTGTATATTTTCATTTAATATATCTATTATATTATCTATTAATATAGTTATAACTGTTAATTTTACTTTAATTTAATACTACTGGTGATAAGCAGCAACCTTGGAAAACAACCCTACTCTGTATTCGAGGAGTTTTGTATGTCCTGCTTTTGCTGTGATTACAAATTTTTAATTTACTATAGTATGATGCAATTATTTTACAAACTATTGGCGTAAAGTTATACTATTTTAAGGCAATATATTGTATATTATAAAATGTTTTTTAAAGGTCTTTAGAAAATTTATATCTGATTTTTATATGTATTTAAAACATTCTTCTATTATTCTAGTTTGTGCCGTTTGCGGAGAGAATCAATGGAATTGACATACGCCATGCAGCTCTGTATCACATTGAGCATGCATATACACAACAGCCAGACGAGAATGAATCTCATTTCTTTGTGGCGCTGCAGAAATGGCACGTCCTTAACTTGACCGAGAATTTTAAAAAATTTAGAAAGGAAGTCTTTGGAATTATAACAGTGCCACAGTTGCTTCATAAAAAAGAAGAGGTTATAAAAATATTGGATAAATATTTGAAGCTAGAGGATCCACTATGCTTGCAACCTCTATTAGAGTAAGTATCGATATCCAATACTCTCAAGGTTCCTAGCACCAGTCAGTTCAAGTTGCATCCCTGACTATCCTTGCATAGATTGTTTACATTCTCCACTCCACTTGTCTAAGCGATATCCTCTCACTATTATCGCCTTCTTCTTCTTCTTAATTACCATTCCTCTGGTTGATGGCAATAGTGTGTAATAAATGTAGATGTCTATTCTTCATGAGGAATTTAATATAACATGTTAAAAAAATTAAAAATAAAATGGTCCGTGTGGTGACGGATTAAGAATACATAGTGTCACCACCCCTATTTACCCCACCCCTTTCTACCCACAATTGCTGCAACCAACACATGTTTATAGCCATAGTTGTGGGTAGAAAAAAATATCTATGTGTTTTATTAACACTGGAATATTTTATAAATACCACATGCTTTGGCCACAGAGAAATACAAGTCAAACTTGTTACTAGGCTCAATTAAATGTTTCGTGAAAGTGTTAAAATATACAGCTATACAAGGGGTGTCCAAGTTTATAATCTCACTAGGAAAGATTAGATTCAAAATCAAGATTCATAAAGAGGTGACATAGGAATCCTATTTATTTTATTTCAATTGACTGCATGGCGTAGTGGTTTGTGTAACGGACTGCTATACCAAAGTTCGCGGGTTCGATTCCCGCCCTAGGCAAACATTTGTTTGCATGAACATTTAATGTTGGATTTGGTCTGGGTGTTACTATGTTTTTACAAAAAAAAAACTATAAATGTATTTATATCAGTTGTCTAGTACAAGCTTTGCTTAGTTTGGGACTAGATGGCGTTGTGTGAATGTGGTAGAATATTATATTATTATTATTATTTTCTTTTTACAGAATTCTTGTCTCAGTAGCAAAAGATTTAAGAGAAGACTTCTATCCATACTTCCCAACATTTCTAGACATATTAATTAAACTACTAAGTACAAAAGATGTTGAGACTTTAGAGTGGGCCTTACTTTGTTTAGCATTTTTGTTTAAAGTTCTAAAGCCTTATTTAAAAAAAGATATAGCAACCGTTCTGAAGAGGATTATACCTTTGCTAAGTAATACACAACCTCAGTACATAAACAACTTTGCCGCTGAAAGTTTTGCATTTGTAGCCCGTGACATCAGAGATAAAAAGAAGTTTGTTGGACTTATACTCAATTACTTGCAGGCTAATGATGACGTAAGTTTTCTTTAATTGTTTACTTTATTAAATTAAAACAACTAAACAATATTTTATTTCGTTTATAAAAAAAACTCTTTTTCTCAGGCTATCACAGGCTGTGGTCACCTTATATTTGAGATATTGAGGGGTGTCAATGGTAAATTTCATAGCTGCATAGAAACATTTCTTCCTCTTTTACTAGAATACCTCAGAAATAACAAGGAACATCAAGAAATACTGTTCAAGGTATTGACTCAAACAATTGAAGACAGCTTAAATAGTATATCACATAAGGAATATGGCATATTTTGGAGCACGCTCATAAAATTCATAGAAGATAATCTAAAGGAAGACGACAGCGGGAGTAAAGCCTTAGCATATGTTTTGAGGTTAGCAGGTCAAGTCATTGAATATGAGAAAGGAAAGTACTTGACAAATCCTCCTCAGTTTGTGCTTTTATTAATCAAAGTTATTTGTGAGCAATCTTCAGAGACCATATTACAAGTCTGTGCCCAAATTGGCGCCATATTATTACTTTCACCAAATGTATCACTATCGCAAGAACATGCCGGAATCATAGTTAAAGTATTACTGCCTTTACCATTTCCAAATATTCTTATAAATTTTGTTCAAAATTTGATTGAATATTCACAGTTTGATATGCACATATTGCCACCATTTATAAAATTTGTAATACAATCAAATTTTGATAATGAAGCCATGAACACACTTACCAGAATATGTCTTAAGAAATCACCTTTATCAATGAATGGAATTAAACTGTTTGAGTGGGTGAAATACCCCATAGATTTTGGTAAACATTTGACAAATTTCATGCAACATTTTGATAGTGTACTCTCTGAAGATATAGAAAAACACATTGAAAATCCAGTTAATCTCACTAATATCCTATTTGCTTTACCTCATGTTGAGAAAATTAATGTTGATTATTGCATCAAAAACTTATCACAATTAATATCGAAACTGTTAAAATTATTAAGTGGTTACAATCTTGAAAATCAACCTAAAGAGAATTACTTTCATTGTGATACAACGCCTTTATCAAGAGATGCCAGGAAGGTTCTTTTTATATTAGCAGTCGCCATGGAAAGTGCAATACATATATCCAGTTGTAAGAAACTCAAGGAGATATGTGATATAGAAGAGCTTTTACCTGTGCTGTTGCCGTGTGCGACAGACCCTAACTTGCTATGTGCATTGCATGTGCTGGATCTTTACTTGACTGCTTATGAACATGAGAACGGATTGAGCTATCCACATCTGTCGCTGATTGATTCATATTTAAGAAGCAATGTTGCATCGCCTTTCCATGTGGTGAGTGTAATGTTTTATGTAAAAAGTTATAAAATCCATTTTTTTGTTTTTTATCTTAATCGTGTTTTAATGTAATTACCGTGGGAGAGCCATGCTTCAGCACGAAAGGGCCGGCTCGACCGGAGTGACACCACGGCCTAACAGAAAACCGGCGTTAAGCAATTCTTTCGTTGCCTTTCACTGAAAGTGAGTGAGTGAGGTTAGCGGAGCCCAAATAGGGGGATTTGGGCTCCCGCTGACTCGAGCGGGAGGGACTCCAAGGGCAGCAACGTACTTGTGACTTTTGAGTTGCAGTTGCCATGGGCGGCGGTAGTTGCTTACCATCAGGTGACCCGTCTGCTCGTTTGCCCCCTTATACTATTAAAAAAAAACACTATCTGTGTAACCATAAAGCAGTCTTACCGCCTGTAAGCTACTATCATTTGTTTTTTCTTCAACAATTTTAACAAACTATTTTGATGTATTACTGTTCGTTGCTAGAGCTTTCAACATGTTTTAATAGAACAATACACTGATTTCCCTAATTGTATGTTATTTCAGATTCGTCTTCTAACTACCCACATCTACAAACTATTTGAACACGTTGATGAATTGAACAAGACAGTAGAAATTGGTGGTACCGTTGAGAAATTCTTGATATTTAGTTATTGTTATTCAGTTGAATCTATTTCGCCTTCAATCCTGGAATATAGAGCTCAAATAAATATATTACAGAAAATGGCATTCAATAGTACACAATACTCACTAGCTAAAGATACAGATTTCCATCTTTATGCCTTAAACTATATGTTAGGTGTATTATATGTAAATTTTAAGCTACTTTGGGAACCGGTTACAGAATTTATAGCAGGTTATGGCAATGCCCTTACTGCTGAAGATTTCTGGCCTACATTCCATGACGCTCTTAAATCATCTTTCTTGAACGCCAAGAACAATTTCAAACAATTTCACTTCAACGAAGAACTTGTAACGAACTTTGAGATTCTTCAATATTTATACTCAGATTATAACAGTATATCTGAAAGACCTGATTTGTATAACTATAGAATTTTGATTCTAAAAGTTATGACGAATTGTATTCAAGTATGTGAAGCTAAAAATCGCGACGTTGTTGTCTTGTTTTTAAATTTTATTGAAGAAGAATACAGAAGAAATGATAATATGAATGCTCTAAAAGTTGACATAGAGACACATACTGATAAAATGGAAGTTGATGAAAAGGGTGAAGAAAATGTAGAAAATATTGAAGAAATGATTGAAGCTATGGATAAAACGAAAGAAACTGTGTCAGGAAAAATTATATTCAAAACACTTATTAACATAATGCAAGTTCTGGCACAGTTTAAAAATCCAAGAGCATTACACAAAGAACCAGAATTCTGGGAGCTCTTTATGGAGTTTTTAAAGCACAAAAATCCAGGACTTCAAAAGTATGCGTTAGATTGCATTCTAAATTATAAAAACAAAAGTGTTGTGGCATATAAAAATAATTTGTGTAACTTAGTAGATGAGAAGAAATTCAAAGATGAACTGACACAGTTTAAAATTACTGAAGACGCTGAAAATATCCACTCAGATGATAGAGAGCATGTAGTGCCAATAATACTAAGAATTTTGTACGGCAAAATGACAACGAAACTCGCCGCGGATAAAAAAGGAGGTGGACAGACGAGAAGATCCTTGGTCATGAGATATCTGGCTGGTTGTACTGAAGCCGAAATTCAAATGTTTATTGAAATGGCCTTTACATATCATAAGCAGTACTTGGACATGGAACCTCGCCAAATTTTGAAAACTATTACTTCTGAAATCGATTTAAAATCTATTACAAGTCCTGGAAAATTACACAGTATGTTGAATTTGTTTGATGTGGTCCGAGAATATTTTGGTGGATACATGAAAGATAAATTACTGTCAAAGCTTTTTAATATATATTATGCGATTTGTTCGACGATTGCTGCTGTATTAGCTAATGGGGATAGAGTACATGTGGGATATGTCAAAGTTATGAAAAACCTTCGGACATTGTGTTTAGTCACTTTACGGAAGTTATTCGAACAGTTTAATAGATATAATTGGAGCAAAGATGAATTGTATGTAATTTTTGAAACACTCATTTGGCCATTAATGCCTAAGTTACATATTGAAGGTATTCATAGTCCAACAGCTCTTTTGAGACTCTTGAATGCTTGGTGTCAAAATCCTAGATTCTATATTCTATTAGTGACTGAATCGGATAAAGAAGCAATAAGTGCTCTTCCAGCTATTTATAAACTGTTGTTGGCTCCAAAAACGACTTCTGGAGTAGTCAATATGATACTAGACATGACTGAAAAACTTTTGACCTTAACTGAAGACGAAGAAGATAAAGAAATGGTTCCAATAGAATCGTTTAATACTTTAGCTGTCGGAAATAAAGAACAGAATATAAATTTCGGAAGCAAAATTTTGATACCTCATATACCAAGCATTTTGGACGTAATGAAGAGACGTTTAGCAAACTCTGCAAAATCTAATAACGTAAATAAAAGAGATTTATTGATACTTTCAAGGATTACAGAATTAGTTGCGTCACCCGAGTTATGTGACGAGTTACTGAATTTGCTGCTTCCAATATTGGTGAAGAAAGTATGCATGAATATGGCTGAAGAAAATATGGAATATGCTGTAAATACAATAATTAATCTATTGGGCCATAGTTCTAATGCTCAAGTTTATATTAAACATTTAGCTGTACTGTTCAATAAAGTGAGCCTTGTGGATGTTAGAAAATTATTAATAAAGCTTCTTACATCAATAGCTGAAAGTGCCCAAAAGAATAATCTTATACTTACGAGAATGGCTAATGTTATAACAGAAATGAATGCTTTCAATAAACGGTGGATCGAACAACCAGATTTTGACAGAAGAATAGAAGCTTACAAGCAAATCTATCAGCTGTTAGAGGAAGATGAGATTGATGTAGATCTCGCAATACTAATTGCCAACAACAGCTTTTACTTCATACGTACTGAAAAAGACATTGGTTTGAGGGACAGTGCAGGATTGTGCTTGAAAAGAATTTTGCCAAAACTGCTCATGAAATATAGGTCGACAAACGATGGTTTATTCCTAATAAGAGATACAGTACTGTCACTGATATCAACTGGTATAAGAGATACGAAAAATGAAATCCTGAGAAACGAATGTATTGCATTGCTTGGTGAATTAGCTAGAGAATGTCCCGATGCAGATGTCGTTCTATCAGATTTAGCACATTTGACTAACAAAGAAGATGTAGAAGTAGATTTCTTTGAAAACATGTGCCATCTGCAAATGCACAGACGTGTTAGAGCGCTACTTAAATTCTCCAAAGTCTTTAAAAAAGTAACAAAGTGCCCTACTCCGAGGACATTAACAAACTTTATATTGCCTCTGGCAACCGTATATATGTGTGATGATAAATATTCGGATAAAAATACACTTATAGACGCTTGTATAGAAGTTGTATCCACTTGCTGCAGATTATTGCCGTGGTATCATTATGAAGTAATACTCAAGTTGTATTTGAATAAAATGCGTCACTCTTCAGAACACCAAAAGCAACTGACACGTATTTTAGTTGGCATAATGGATGCTTTCCATTTCGATTTCTCTAAAGCTAAAAATATAGATCTGCCGAAATCATTAACTAGTAATATACATAAGGTTAAACATGTGGTCTCTAATTCAGAGGAAAAAGAAAATTTAAATGTATCTAATAAAGATGACGATAAGGAGAATGAAATAGAAGCTAAAGAAGATTTGGAAGTGGATGAAGAAACTGAATTACAAGCAGCAGATGATGAAGTTGCTGATGAAGAAGTAAGCAAAGAAGTTTCAAATGTTCCAGCATTTGAAAGAATAACAAATGTGTCGCCCTCTGTAGCAAAGCGAATTATAAAATCACTGACAACTGGTTTATTACCGCAACTTAACCGGTGAGAGTCATTTATACTAATTTTTTAATGTGTATATTTTATTAAGCTGTTTCATAAACAATTTTTACACACACACACACACACACACACACACACACACTCACACACTCACACACACACACACACACTTAACATGTTTTATTTAAATTTCCATATCTATATATGTTCTACAATTGCAATTTCCGAAAATAATATACATGAAATAATATTTAATGATTGAAATTTTCCAGCGCTATTGGTAAAATGACAGAACATGAAGAGTCACACAAGGTGAACCGTCGTCGCACCGGTTTCGATCGACAAGAGGAGGATATGTTGCGAGTCCCCATAGCGTTAGCTCTAGTGAAATTGTTGCAGAATTTACCTGGAGACTTACTTAAACATCAGCTGCCAGGGTAAGTTGGCTTCCAAATATCGTTATGTTGTAATACTAACTATGTTGTATACTGCATAGTGTGCAAACTTACTCTATTGTATCATCATCATCATCATCAACAGCCTTTAATAGTCCACTGCTGGACATAGGCCTCTCTTTAGAAAGGAGGTTTTGGCCTACTACACCACGCTTGCCAGACTAGTTGGTATAGCGTTTGTTTGAAGTTTTCCTTCTCTTTGCAGTGCTGTTGTAATGCGTAGTTTGCTCCCTTAGTCCGCTCTTACGCACCCACGAGGTGAATAGGAGTGGTGACACTCCGTATTCTTAATCCGGACCACGGTTCTTAATTCTTAATTTTGTTTTAATCGTTTTTCAAATTTAAACTTTTATTTTGATTTTCTAGAATCATCATCAAATTATGCTCCTTCCTGAAATCACCGTTAAAACAAGTAAGGATGACGGCGCGCGATATCGTCAAGAAAATTATGATAACTGTTGGTACTTCATACTTAAACGTTCTGTTAGAACATCTCACCATGCTACTTACCAGAGGCTTCCAGGTCCACGTGTTAGCAGCAACTATACACACAGTTTTAGACTCTTTGAAGGCAAACTTCAAGCCTGGCGAACTAAACGACAGCTTACATTACATATTAGATGTTTGTACTAACGATCTTTTTGGAGCCTTATCAGAAGAAAAAGAAGTAGATAAACTGCATTATAAAACGCCAGAAGCAAAACCTAGTAAGAAGAGTTACGTGACTCTCATGATAGTGTCTCAGAATATCACAGAGAATTGTCTTATAAATCTTATTTTACCTTTTAAAGAAGTTTTACAAAAACATCATTCGAAAAAAATTGTGTTGAAAGTCCAGGAAGCGCTTATGCACATCACAAGTGGTTTAGTAACGAACAAATTCATTGATATAGAATCTTTGTTCGTATTCTTACATGGCGTAGCGTCAGAGAGTATACCAGAGTTTGTACTAGGAGCTCCTACGAGAAAAATAACGGAACAACAAAGGGAGAAGATGTTGAGAGCGAAACCAGATTGTTTCATTATACCAGAGACTCCGAAACGTAATAAGGAATCTCAAGCTAGACATGTTAAAATTTCTGGTAAAGCGAACGCTCATGTGTTAGTAGAGTTCAGTTTGAATATTCTGTATGTAATTCTCAAGAGAGAAAAGGTACCGAGAATGGATTGCAGAGCGTTTGTTGACCCATTAGTGCCGTTACTAGTCGACGCATTAAAAAGCGACCATGTGAAAGTGACTACTGTTGCTTTGAAGTGTATTGCTACATTGTGGACTATTAGAGTTAGCACACCTACACTCGAAGAAATGGTCCAAGACATTGTTAAAACGATATTCATAATTTTACATAAATATGCTACATTTGAAATCAGTAAGCAGAATGATAATTATCATTTAGTTCGGAATGCTTTTAAAGTAAGTTTTATATTTAATATTCAATGCATACAACTTTAGTAGCTTAGTGGTTAAGGCATTGGACTTGCGATCAAGAGGTCGTGGGTTCGAATTGTGACCAGTACACTACCGATGTGAAGCCACTCTCAACACAAGCAAATTAGCTTAGCTGGAGGGTTTAACATGAATACTAGTAATTTCGGTTGCTAGTAAACCTTTAAATATTTTAAAGCTTCACTTTAAATACCTTAAAGTAAGCTAAGTTAAATGACCTCAAAGTAGTAATAAGGTATAGCTCATTAGACCCACCCGACCAGCAGCACCTAGTCTTTCGCTGTCCACCCGTTGTCCACAACGCATTGTTAACCAGTAAGTGTTCCGTGGTCAACTAGTGGACATCGCGCTGTCCGCGAATAGATGAGTTTGGCAGGGATGGTCATCGTCACTCACGGACAGAGCGCAATCCGTTCAGAACCTGCGCGTGGGCAACGCAAGACATGAGTGCGAGCAACAGGAGGTCACCAAAGTTTCCTATCTTCTTTTAACTAATTCTGTTGGGTTAAAGCAACGGTTGGACCCTCTTCTAAATTGTTTGATTTTGTGTATTTGATATAAATGATGAAATATAGATAGATATTTATGCTTCTGGGGTTTCTTCAATCACTCACATCACATCATCATCACACACAAACAATGATCATGCCTGCCTGCCATGGTGGCTTAATGGTTGGTCTTTTGACTGTTGGTAAAGACTTTCATTGCCTGATTGAAGATATACACTTCCAAATCAAGTATTGCTTATGTAGTTCCAAGTCAAGTAATTCTTAATATTTATCTTTCAGGCCGTCACAGTATTAATACGCAACGTAAAATATTACAATTTAGAAGCAGATCAGCTCAAAACTCTACTTTTATACGCTGAAGAAGATTGCCAGAACGATGAGAAGCAGTCCAACTCATTTTCTCTTTTAAAAGCGATATTAGAAGCCAGGCTTGTGTCGAATGAGTTGCATGAAGTCATGGAAAAGGTTTCCAAGATTTGTATACTCAGCGAGTCGGCTAAGACCAGGTTAGTAACTTTAGGCGTATTTTAATAAACGATAGAGCAGAATAGAATTGATAAATATCGGATTAATCAAATAAATTATTAAAAATTCTCTAGTAACCGGGTACTGGGTAGGTCGACCTGGATACTTTAAGGGGTTATAGTTGCCATTATTTCTGTTAGATTTTACTATGAAATACCATATCCCAAACCTAACCATTTTCAAGATATTACAATTAAGGTTTTTGCTTTTTTTTTCTTATGCTCTTTTTTATTTTTATTTTGTTTTTGTATCAGAATATCAACTTATTTTACAAATTAATTTCTCTTTCCTCTTATTCTATCTATCTATCTAGGTCGACTTACCCAGTAACAGGGTTACTTAATTAATTAATTTGTAGTACTGCTATGAAGTACAGGGGGTATTTCTTTATCAATTATTAAGCCACCGGTGCACAACCTGTGCACCGGCGTTTAAAAAACTAGAGTTACAAACAATGAAATGGCTATACTAATGACACACCAATAACAATACCGGAAATCTCAGTTTTGCGTCATCTAACTTTTCTATTCCCTTTCATGTAAATCTATAACAGCAATAGTATAGGTGTACAATGACGTAATCATGACGTCACAATTCGACATGTGTTACGTTACTTTTACATAACCAATCGTTTTGAATATAATGGTGCTAATTCTGTTGTTCGAAAACTCTCTAAACTAAACTAAAAATCACTAAAAAAATTGTTTAGTTCTGTCGAACAACCTTTCCTATTCTGAAAACGTAATATTTGACAGGACAAGATTTGTTTTTAGTGATTTTTAATTTAGTTTCACTCTTTTTCATTGGTGCTAATTCAGTGGGCAAATGAGAATTAGCACCAATAAAAAAGATTTGTATTAAATCGATTATAAAAAATAAAAATTTCAGGGAGGAAGCGCGAGTGATATTCGTGAACTATCTAACACATTACTCACCCGGCAAACGACTAGAGAAATATATAGACTTCTTTGTGTCACAACTTAATTACGAGCTGCAACACGGTCGGGAGTCTTCGCTCAAGTTCCTGGAGATGATAATTAATAAACTGCTTGTGGTTCGTTTTTTTTAATAATAATAACTTCACATATAGTTACCAGACTGCTGATAAGTTGTGGTGACGGATTAAGAATACAGAGTGTCACCACCCCTTTTCATCTTGAATAGGGGTGGTGTGAATATACCTATTCCTATTCATAATGAAAAAACCCATAATTTTTTAATTTTTTTTTTGTTTTTTTTTCTAAAAAGACAACTCCCGCACTAGGAATAAATCCTGTGTTGCGGGGGACTTTACAAACATACATGAAACTTACACAAAGTACACCCAGACTCAGAACAACAATTTGTGGATCACACAAAGTGTTATCCCATGTGGGGTTTGAACCCACAACACTCGGCGCAATAGAAAGCGGCGTGGCGACCGCTTAAACCACTACGCCATCCGTGCAGTCAAAATTACAAATAGACACTTCAATTTTATTTATTTGTATAGATATAACATATATTGTATAGATATGTATGATTTAGTAATATATAAGTATATTTATCATCACATCATCATCAAAAGCCATTAATAGTCCACTGCTGGACATAGGCCTCTCCTTAGGAAGGAGGTTTTGACTCACTATACCACGCTGGCCAGACGGGTTGGTAGAGGGTTTGTTTCAAGTTTTCCTTCAATACATGTACAATGGTGTTTGTAGTTTAAGGTGGACTAGAGCCTAAACTAGGTGTGTGTGTCTGTGATTCAGTGCGCGTGGGTGGGTATGGTATATGTTTCTTATTGCCATTATTAATGGCTCCAATATTTTCAGGCTCAACTCACAAAGCACGGCTCGCACCTCCTACTGTCGTTGGGCGCGTGCATGCTCAACGACAGCGCCCCGGAGTGTCGAGCCTCGGCTGCGCAATGTATAGAAGCCATGTTGAAACGATTCTCAATGCAAGAAAGGAATAAACTCTTCAATCTCGTGCTCACATTCTTAGAAGATAATCAAGTACGTTTTGGCTTTTTTCAATAAATAAATTTGTGTCCCTGTTGTTTAGTGATTGATACTGATAATTAAAAAATATTCTGAGTTGGATTTTGTTGTACAAAAACTAATGCTTTATTACTACTTGTTACTACTACTTACTCTATACAGTCAATACTTTTATTTCAACAGCCTGTGCATTTCGAACTGGCAGCCCAACTCAGCACAAGATTCGTAAACGTAGAAAAGGAGGATTTCAAGAATCGTCTCAACACCATCCTGTCTTTAGTTAGCGGTAAAATATTGCTACTTAGCAATGATATAACCGAAGGGCGATTCGTTAGGATTAAACTAGACCACACCGAGGACAAGACTGACGAAGAGAAACAGAATGAAAAGGACCACAGTTTAATACAAATTTTAAACTTAATCGATAACATCACTGTACATTGCCCGTCTAGTTTAAAGAACAAATTGTATCTTCAAGATTATGACGAAATAGGCACGCATTGTAAAGCGTTATTGGCCTACCCTCATTCGTGGGTGAGGTTAAGGGCTGCCAAGATTTTAGGGCAGTTGTTACAAGCAGTCGATATTGAAGAATTGGATGGTGTTATAAATAAAAAGGTTGAGACCGAAAGAGGCTTCATTTATGATGACACAGAGGAAACTTTAAGAAGTCTTGTATTGGATTTGTGCGCGCAATATACTACAGGTGCTTCTAAAGATATTGTTGATCAGGTAAGATTGAATTTTTATAAGATTTTCTTTATTTATTTCATTTCGTATTGAGTTTCAATGCTACTATGTTATTGGAGATATCATTTTTGGTTTTGAAAAAATAAATAAATCATAAATCAATCACCCAACTTATACTTATTCGGCTCTATCTGTCAGGATATCTCTACCAATCACAAGTGTTCACATAAAAAAATTAACATCACATGACATTAACAGCCTTATGTCCACTGTTGGACATAAGCCTCTCCTTAGAAATGAGGATTTGGCCTACTATACCACGCTGGCCAGACAGGTTGGTGTAGGGCTTGTTTCAAGTTTTCCTTCTCTTTGCAGTGCTGTTGTCCTGCGTAGTTCGCTTCCTTAGTCGGCTCTTACGACACCCACGGGATGAATTGGGGTGGTCACACTATGAATTCTTAATCCGTCAAATTGAATAAAAAAAATCTGATCATAAACAATAAATATTGTGGATATAATTTACTTTACCGTTATTTACAGGCGACAGCAGTATTGTTTCAAATATTAAAAATTGTTCATACACTATCGAGTTTTAAACTAGACAAGAAGTCTCAAACTGACGGTAGTGAGACAGAAGGTGGCGGCAAAATGAACATTCGCTGGATCCTCTTTAAATTGAGAATAGCTCTCAATGTTGAAGTGGCTCGGGCGCCAACGTCTATGATTATCGTAAGTAAAACCTTATAACTAGAGACCGGATTATATGCATTTGTATATCCTTTTGCTTATTTAATCCATTCTCAACGGTAATAGCATGTTTTACCTAAGATCTAGTTATGATGCATATTATCGGTACAATTACAATATTTTTCCTTTTTTTTTCCGTGCTGTAATCCCCTCGGATACCACCTATCGGTGGCATGTCGGACTCGAACCGACTAAAACCGCACGCCGTCTGGGGTACTAATAGCCGGGCAACCAGGTATACTCTAGAAAGGAAGTCCCTGGTGCCCCGACATACCTCGGGTCATCTACAGACGAGTAGACGACCCCCCCCGTGTGGGAACCCCATGTTCCCGGTGAGTGCATTCGCCCTGTGTGCCGAAAAGCGATAATATCGCGTAATCGACCCGGAACGCAGAGTCAGTAGCCGCGCGTCTTTTGTTTTGACAGTTACGATAAAAATAAAAAAAAAAAGACATGTAATATTACTGTACTTATTATCGCCAATCAAAAAATAATTTACTCAGTGTATGCTGATTTTGATTTCTCACCGACTTTTCTCATTCTTTTGGGGTTCCTAAAATTTATCATTTAATTTCTCATATTCTGCCAATTTTCGTGCATATTTCAAGCATTTTATGTTGCATATAATCCGGTACCAGGGTTGTCGCGAATATTAGTATCAGTATCCGCAAGAATCGATGTTGATTTTTAATGTTGACATTCAAGTTGTAACGGTTTCGTTGAAGGCATGACCGACAGTCACGTGGAGTTTTATTTATTTATTTTATTTATTTTAGTGACGGGCCTGTTGGTCTAGTGGTTAGTGGCCCTGACTGCTAAGCCGGAGGTCGTGGGTTCGATTCCCACCCAGGACAAATATTGTGTGATGAGCACGATCATTTGTTCTGTGTCTGGGTGTAATTTATATATAATATGTATCTATTTAAAAATATATAAGTATGTTTATCAGCAGTCTGGTTACCATAGCACAGGCTCTGCCTAGTTTGGGATCAGACGGCCGTGTGTGACATGTGTGAGGTATATTATTATTATTATTATTTATATCTTTATTGTTTACAGTTAACACATAAGACATTACAAATATATAGACGTAACAATCGGCGGTCTTATCGCTCACGGCGATCTCTTCCAGACAACCTTGATACGGATATTATTTATTTAAAAGTTAACCAATCATAGACAGTTATATAAGAAAAACATAACCCTTCCTTGGCAGTCGGCTAAGAAAGCTGTGATTGGTTCCCTCATTCGATTGTTTTGTCAACATAAATTGATTGGGCGTTAGTTATATATTGGTGCTAATTCTGGTGTTCGATAACTCTCTAAACGTAATAACTAGTAATAACGTGAATCAGCCACAACCCTGCTCGGTACCCAAGTACCGAGAAGTGTTACATTTTTCACGAGTTAGTGGATATGTACACGATTTCAATTTTTTTTTCTCGCACTTCCGACACACAACGCCATCTGGTTTAACTAAGCAGAGCTTGTACTATGAAAGCTAGATTGACTGATAGAATACTTAAATACTTTTTTTTATAAATACATACATATTATACATAGAAAACACCCAAACTCCGAAACAAATATTTGCAAATCGTACAAACATTTAGTCCGACCCGGTATTCGAACCCGAGACCTCAGCACAGCTGTCGCATACGCTACCACTGCACCATCTCTTTTCTATTGATTACATTTGAATCAGTGATGGGTGTAATCGATACATTTAAAGTTCGCGATGATTTTCATAAAAACATAGCAGCCTAAAATAGAAAATGGCGTTAGAGATATTTATTTATTTATTTAGTTCGACCTATGAGTCATCATAAGCGTTCACTCGTTTTTTTATTTGGTTATAAAACCAATTTAAGAAAGCATTGTTAGTCATTCTATATCGTTAGCTATTGAAGTATTTTTTTTTTAAAAACAATTAGGAATATATCCTGTGTCGCGGACGACTTAACAAACATACATGAAACGGATACAGATAACAGCCAGACTTAGAACAACAATTTGTGGATCACACAAAGTGTCGTCTCATGTGGGGATTGGACCCACAACACACAGCGTAGGTCGGCGTGGCGACCGCTTAAACCACTACGCCATCCGTACAGTCAAGTCAAAAGAGTTTTAAACAACATAAATGATATTCCTCCTTTTATTTCAGCGCACATCAATATTTACAATGTGGACTCATGTTATCAGCTCTCTAGAAAGTGAGGAAATAAACAAAATAATCGACGTCATTCTCCCTCCAATCGTTCGAGAACTCTCGACAGGTGACGCGGCCTCTCCTGCTAGCGTGGCGAAGCAACTCGCCGGACGACTTGGAAAGAAGTTGAGAAGGAAAATAGGAGATATTGAATATAGTAAACTTGTCGCTGAGGCACAGACTAAGTTAAATATAAAAAGGGCTGAGAGAAAGAAGGTTGGTATACATTCTGTTCTCTCTTTTGTCTTCTGTTTTACTAAGGAAGGAAGTATATTTGTTAATTTTTTATCTCTTTAAATTTACTTGTGGCTTTAATTTAAGGAGCGCCGTACATACGGGCCGGAGTGATACCTCCGTCTCATATAAAACTGGTGTTAAGCAATTCTTTCGACATCCTCTACCCCCACCCCGTAACCCTAGAGGGGGCGCAATCAAAGGTCTCCAACACTCTTGATTTCCAGGTCTTCATGTAGTAGGCGATAGTCACTTACCATCAAATGAACCGTCTGCTCATTCTTTGTGGATTCTAATAGAGTCAGATTACCTAAGATTTGCTGAGTAAATATTATTTTTACTACACACCACACATGTTACTATGCCTCAATCAAGAGAATTATAAAATTACGTAATTATACTAAAACTATTTTTTTGAGTGAAATAATATTTTATGAAACAAACATTTCGATTACAGCTCTTACTTCAAGAGAAAATACACAATCCAGATAAAGCGGCTAAAAGGAAACTACAATTAAAAGAAAAGAAGAAACAGTCCAAGAAGATAAAACTTGAAATGTTCAAAGGCAAGAGGCCGAGGCCGACGAAACGGAAGGCTGAAGATATTGACATAGAGGATGAGTTATTAAATGACAATTAAGTGAAAGATTGGAATAATTGCTGTCCTATTCCTGGCTTCAAAAGAAACTCATTTTGTAAAATCATCAGCCTGCCGCAGTCCACTGCTGGACACAGGCCTCTCCTATAGCACGCCACTATTGATTTTCGGCTTCTCGCATCCAGCTCCTGCCAGCCATCTTGAGCAAATAGTTACTCCACCTGGGCTTCAATTCTGCTATTTTATGTTGCCCAAGCCACTGTCATTCTATTGACACGTTATTGAGATGCCACTGAGACGCCATTGACATCGGTCAAAATATCAGTATTCTATTAACACAAAGTCACAGTGTCAATAGACTGTCGATATAGTAATATAGATCACCAACGGTGATATCAACAACATGGAAAATTAAGTATATCATTTTCTTACAAATTAAAAATGTACCTTTAATTAAGCTATTACAAAGACATCGACGACATTTGTATTAGTGGTAATTCAATGACAAGTCATCGGGAGGCATTTGGTCTTACATAGTTAGTAGAATACGAAAATTGCAAAACTATTCCGACGACATTCCATCGAAAGTCTATTGATACAATATTAAAATAGCAGAATTGAGGCCCTGGCCTGATGGCGTCCTACAATACGTTTTGTAATATGTTTCCCGTTAATTATCAAAATCTTGGCATTCAGTTAGACTTGTATTAATGAGTCCTTAATTATCTTGATATATACAAGTTCAAGTTTACCTAAGTATTGGGCTTGAAGCAAGATGTTTTACATTTCCAACGGCCAGGATTATAATTTCAGTTTTATATAAGTATTTGGCATGGTTGACAAAGATTGAAATACAACTTTAAGGATATCTGGGTCTATACTGATACAAAAAGTTAACACAATTTTCATTTATGCGCGCACGCACAATGCGTATACGCACTTACAGTCGATACGTAACGAATTTATAACAGAGCGAATTGCTACGAATTTCCTTTACAGGTATTAGTAGCAATATACTTCACCGAAGTCAAAACTATACTAATATACGTTTAAAATTAATAAACTCTGAAGCCATAGTACAGTCGTTTTCAATAATTAGTATCTAAATAGTATCATGACACATCACACACATCAACAGCCTTTAATAGTCCACTGCTGGACATAGTCCTCTCCAAATGTCCAGAGTATTTAGTTCTAAATAGTATGCAAACTAAAAATTTCTAAACTGTCATGTTTCAAACGAATCTATGGGGTTAAATAATAATTATATTACATTTGATATGTTATATTAGAAAGACTGAACAAATCCCTTAACTTGTTTTTAAGGGTCAACAGAGCTGAAGCTAGTTATACATGACTGTTGACAGTCAATAGTTATCTACTCGTTAAAATACGCCTCAAATGTATTTGTTGTAAAATATAGCTTAAGATGTTTTATAGAAATACAACTGTTACTGAAAAACAATGTGTGTATTTTTTAATTCTGTTGATTACCAATTCTACTACAAATAAAGGTGGGTAGTTCATAAATTAATCAAAGATCACTAACAGCTCCTTGACCTCAACGTGTGTTTTATCCAGCTCATAACATCAGTTTTGTTTTAGTGCTAAAGGTTCTATTACTGTTTTAATATCGTGATTTACCAAGACCTTACCCTGGTATTTCACCAATTGAAATCACGACAACCTTTGCACATTTTTAGTCGAGATAGTCTTGTAGGTATTTAGCGGTCTATCACAGGACCCACCATTAGTATTTATTTACTGCATGGATGGAGTAGTGGTTTAAGCGGTCGCCAGGCCGCTTCCTACTACACCGAGTGTTGTGGGTTCAAACCCCACATGGGACGACACTTTGTGTGATCCACAAATTTTTGTTCTGAGTCTGGGTGTTCTTTTTGTCCATCTCATGTATGTTTGTAAAGTCCCCCGTGACACAGGATATATTCCTAATGCGGGAGTTGTCTTTTTAAAAAAGAAACCTATTGTAAGAAAATTCCTAATGACAATATTTCATAACCTCTGCGTCATGCTTAGTATTCACGCGCAACTAGTATGTACTTTTATTAAACTACCATCTTTAATAACGTTTTGTAACCTAACCGCTTATTTAATGTAACGTCGTTACTTTATGTTAAATTAAGAATATGACATAATGCAATCAAAACTTCTATATAGAATAGAATATTATTTGTTTCATATTTAAATGCTAAAAATGAACTCGATATATACACATTACTTCAAAACTTGTTTGACTACCGCGACTCCTCCGATAAGACTGCACAAAAAAATGACTTCAGCGCTCCATTACGCCTCTCTCACCCTTAGTCCGTGGTGGGGCGAGAGCGCATGATGTCAGTGTTGCCATAAGAAAAATATAGTACACATTTGTTGCTAATGCTTTAATTTAATTTACTTGAGAACCATAATATGTTTACATAGATTTTTGGATATTAAGGAGGGGTTAGAATAAAGTTAAATCCAAGTTTGTGGGGTTTGCAACGCTTATCCTACAGCCGCCATCTTGGAATCAGTGTTTCCACTTTAATGATTTCTTTCCCCTCAATTCAAATTTCCCCTTCTCGGGGCTTTTTTCCCCTCAAAAATTTTTCTGCTGTAGTTTTTACTTTTGGCCCTAGTGTAGTAACTAAAAAAATAAAAGGTCTTTATCGATTTTCTTCTATGGCCAGCCCACGCCTCTGGTGATACTATACTATGATATCTATAAAACTTGGGCTGTATACTCACCTCATATTCCAATCAGCACATACATTTTAGCACAGAATAATATTTTAGACCTTAAACAGAATGGAAATAAGGGTAAGTATACGCCACCTGCACGTGTTGTCACAGTTTTATACGGCAACACGCGTATAAAACAGAGGAAAAATGAAAATTATATTTCTATTTTTCCTGGGAAAACGAAAAACGGGCTTATAAATTAATTAACGTAGGTCGAAAGGGCTAATTGAGATCTATAAAATGAGATTTTTTTATTTTGAAATTTTAATATCTGCAGGCTGGAACGTGCCCGGTATCTCTATGGGCCTGTCTGTGAAAAGGGTTGCCAGATACCGAAACGACTTGTCAAGTTTTAATTCAAGGTTAGTAATTTTTTCGGTAAGTTGAGTAGAAATGAGGTTAAACGTCGTTGTCTTAGAGGATCAAAGGGATAAAGTGTAAAATGGAGTGTAAAAGTAAGTCTTTTGTTCAAAGTAAGAGTATACTTAAGTTTTTAATGTAGTGAATGTTTGGTAGATTAATCACACACAAGGATCATATCTGGCAACTCTAAGCTGGAAATGTGAGACTGATATCTGTCTTGAAGTGTCTTGTCCACAGGTCTTGTCTTTATTTCATTTCATTCAATAATCCATTCAACATTTGTTGCTGAGTTTTTAACAGCTACTCGTTTAGGAATTTTATGTATATCGTTAATTTCATTAGTTTCGAACAAAGTACAACTATTTAATACTGAAAGGCACAAATTTTGTCGTTCATTAGAATAGCGATATTAATACTTTGTAAAAATAATTAAATTATAAAGCGGTCAGTGACAGAAACGAAACCAAGTGCCTAATTTATAACCTTTTGTTGTTGCCAATATTTATCGTTGTTCACGTGTTATCGGTTGGTGTTTAGTGACTTTCCGCAAGTTTTGCAATGGTCCGAGCTGTTTTCTAGCATCGTCCAGTCGAGTTAAATAATTTGGTAAGTAGAAAAGAATTTTAACACGAGGGTATTGTAGTTGCGGATAAATTAAATTTATGGTTTACTCACAACTAATAGCTTAGTACATTTAGTATTATTTAACTACAACTACCAGTTGTAAAAGAATTAAAGTAATCTTAAGTAAGTATACACATTAAATATTGCGAATCATGTTGTTACTTTCCTTCGTCCCATATAGATTGCAGGAAAGTCCTTGAAAGTATTACGAAAACTATATAAATTAATCCAATAACTAAAGTAACTATTACACTATTCATTCCATTGTGTAGGAATAACTTTGTATAAAACCATAAATCAATAAACTGGAAATGTCAGCAAACCTTTTTCAATGATTGAATAATTAGTTATAAAATTAATGCAGTTCTTTATTAAAGTCTATGTTACTTTTTTTTGGTTTTGGGCAAAGGTAGTCTCTATTCAGTTTAATTTGTCATTATATCTTTTGCTAAATGAATTGCTAGTTGCTTAAATACTTTATTATCATACAATATATGTAAATGTGTATAAGTTTCAAAGTGTAAAAATAAAATATTCATTCATTCATTCAATTTATCAACACACCAATATGGTTAGTAATGAAAGGATTATTGTTCTAATATTGTGTGATTGTGTTAGTTCCTAACATGAATGACATGTTTTGTGTATATCTGGCCCAAGTGTGAATTAATTTCACATCTAGTCATCACGGTGACCGCATTCGGTGTTGTGGTTGGTGAAGTTTAGGTCAATGATAACGCAAAATGCAGTCACCGTGACGATTGAGTAGAAGTGACTGCTGCTCTGCTGTCCGTCCGTCTGTATGTCTATCACCAGGCTTAATCTCATGAACCGTGATAGTAAGACAGTTGACATTTTCACAGATGATGCATTTCTGTTACTGCTATAAGAACAAATATTATAAACAGAATAAACTAAATATTGAAGTGGGGAACTTTGGAAGTCTCCTATACAAAAGATGTGATTTTTTTGTCGTTTTTACAGATAATGGTATGGAACCCGGACTCGCACTTGGTCGATTTTTTTTTTGTAGTTTTTAAAAGAAAAACAAATACTAAGTTCTCAAACAGACTGCATCTTGTCAAAATATTGACTCATGCTGCTTACAAAAAAAAAAAATGCAATTATTAACAAATGAATATATGATCCCAATATATGGTTACTGGTTATTAATCGGCAGACCATATCTACTTTTCCTTTAAGTCCTTAAGATAAAAAGCAAATTACTTAAATATCTCAAAAATTGTGTAGGTTAATGATGATAAAGTAAAAAGAGTGTCAAGGCCCTCTGAGAACATTCAACAATCTCAGAC